AGGTGTCATGTAAGAATTGTGGCGCTCTGACTTCACGAAGGCAAATAAACTCAATATAGCGTTTGAGCATGGTGGTGCCTTCACTCAAAGCGATCACTTCTTGGGTATTGATCTCACGCGGGTTTTGCATCACTTTACGCATCACCGCCGCAGAGAGTTGCGCAATTTTAGCAACATGCGGCATATCGATGAGCATCAGCACATTTACACATTGTTCAAATTGAAGCAAAGCATCATCAATACCGAAGGGTAAAGTTTGGTCTTCAACTAAACTACTGACAGCAGATTCTACCTGTAAAATTGAATTATCGACTTCTTTTTTAATAATAAGTAATGCTGTCGGATCAAAATGTATAGAGGTTTGGTAAGACATTGATCTGCACCTATCCTGGGTATCTGAATGTTTTATTTCATAGCCTCAAAATGAGGCTAATTTTCTAAGTTTTACTATAGCCGAAGAAGACCATCTTTACAGAAAAAATAGCCATCAATTTCAAATTTTATTTTGCAAAAATGCAGGCTTCCCCATGTTTTTCTTGAAATTGTTTGACCCAGTTCTCATGCGCTTCTAATTCTTCATCTGAAGGTAAAATGATTGGGGCATTGATTTCAATTTTTTTCCGAGTTGTATTTCTTTGCGCCTGATCAGTATGTGCAGAAAGAGCATCCATGTCAAAGGATACTTGACCGCCTGTCATGGCGAGATAAACGTCAGATAAAATTTCAGCATCGAGTAAGGCACCATGGAAAGTACGATCTCGTTGCGGAATTTCATAACGGCGAACTAAGGCATCCAAAGAGTTCTTTTGCCCAGGATGTTTGCTTTTCGCCATTGCCAAGGTATCAGTTACTTCACATACTTCTGAGAGTGCCTGTAGACCACTGCGCTTAAACTCCATATCTAAGAAGTTCATATCGAAGCTTGCATTATGCGCAATAATTTCACTACCTTTTAAGTAGTCAAATAAAACTTGCGCAATTTCGTTATATTTTGGCTTATCTTTTAAAAACTCATCGGTAATACCATGGATGGCTTCTGAATCGCCAACTGGTTTTTCTGGATTTATATAGATATGAATCGAACTGCCAGTCAGTTTACGATTGACCATTTCAATTGCGCCAACTTCAACAATTCGGTCACTGTCCTGATAATAGAAACCGGTGGTCTCGGTATCCAGAATAAACTGTTTAGGGCCATGTAACTGGACCGTCGCAGGTGTAATCACAATTTGTGGATGAATATCTCGCATTGCGGGTTGGCTCATTGCTGGCTCATCATTTTCATTGATATCTTGGTTAGATGGTTCTTCCATCTCAATTTCATGAGCTGGCATGACATCCTGCTGAGGGCTAATTTCTGATTCTATCATTTCATCTGATTCAATCAGGTCAAATCCAAAGGGATCGTCAAGCAGCCAGTCTTTTTCATGTTTTTTTTTATCATCAGCCACTGCCAAGGGTTCAGTCAATTTGCTTGGCGCAGTGGTGTTTTTTTTTGCGTCGAGTATTTGCTGAGTACCTAAATTCGCCAATTGATCTGCCATTTCATTGCCTGCATGTCCAGCATGACCTTTAATCCAGTTCCATTCAATTTCGCGACCTTGGCAGGTTTGATCGAGTTTTTTCCAAAGATCTGGGTTTTTTACATCTTTCCAGTTTTTCTTTTTCCACCCTTCAATCCATTCGGTAATGCCACGTTTTACATAGTTGGAATCGGTCCAAAGCACTAATTTTGCTTCGGTTGGGCAAAATGCGATCCCTTCAATGGCTGCGGTAAGTTCCATGCGGTTATTGGTTGTATCAAGTTCACCACCACACAACTTATGTTCTTCTGTTTCAGTGATGATATAAGCGCCCCAGCCACCAGGACCTGGGTTGCCTTTACAAGCACCATCGACATAAAGTGTGATTGTTTGTGACATAGTAATAACCAATGAAAGTGAATTAAGAGTTGAACATCGTGGTTTAAGAATTTATTGTATACGCAAATCGGCGTTTTCTACGCATGAACTGAGATTTTTTTAATTTCTTGTAACATTTGTATGCAATTCGCATTCAAAATTTGCCTTGTAAGCGCGTTTAGCTCTACTAAAATGGCAATGATAAAATAATTTACTAAATGTTGTTCGGAACTCTTATGTTTAAACCTACCACAATGCTGTGGCAACCTACTGCGACTGTTTTCTTTAAATTATCCTTATTAACATCTGCATTCGCAGCATTAGGGTTGACTGCAGGGTGTTCTTCGACGTCGACAACATCAAAAGTTCAAACATCAAAGTCAGCAGGCATGTTAGATGCCAGCAGTCTGGATTCTCTAGAAGATCTACTTTCTGCAACTGATATACGCGCGGTAGAGGGCGATCGCCTATTGATTTTAAAACATGGTGACGTATGGAAGCGGATGTCAGTCGGTTTTAAAATGGATGAAAACCATTGGGATCCTCGTATTGATGCGCAACGGAGCTGGTTTGTTTCACGCCAACCTTATATTGACCGTCTAAGTGCTCGTGCATCACGCTATCTTTACCATACCGTGAAAGAAGCTGAACGTCGTGGTTTACCTACTGAATTAGCACTATTGCCGATTATTGAAAGTTCTTATGACCCAGCAGCAACCAGTAGTGCCGCCGCAGCTGGGATGTGGCAATTTATCCCAAGTACAGGGAAAATTTATGGTTTAAGACAAACCAGTTTATACGACGGGCGTCGTGATGTGGTTGAATCAACACGTGCCGCTTATGAGTTTTTAGGCAGTTTATATAATCAATTCGGTTCTTGGGAGTTGGCTCTGGCTGCCTATAACGCAGGCCCAGGGCGTATCCAGCAAGCAATTAACCGTAACCAAGCTGCGGGCTTGCCAACAGACTATTGGTCATTGCGTTTACCGCAAGAAACCATGAACTATGTACCACGCTTTTTAGCCGTGGCGCAGATTATTAAAAGCCCATCGAAATATGGGGTGAGCTTACCGCCGATTGCCAATCGTCCGCACTTTAGAGAAGTTGCAGTTCCACCGGGCGTACAACTCAATCAAATTGCTTCAATTACCAATTTAAGTCGCGCTGAATTATATGCTTTAAATCCTGGTCATCGTGGTGAATTTGTTGACCCTTCGAGTACTTTACGTATTTTGATTCCTGCGGATCTTAGTCCGACCATTGATGCAAAATTAAGAGCGTTAAAACCGGGTTCTGATAGCGGTTTATGGGCAAGCAATACTGCGCCAACCACAGCTACACGGACTTTAACGCCTACAGCGGTCACCTCGACAGTGACTCAATCGATTACTCCAAGTAAAGCGACGCCACCTGCTTTAACAACAGCAAAAACCACCACGACAACCACAGGTTCATTGAGTACGCTCAAAAATACACCACAAGGCTCAGATGCATTAGCGCAATTTGCTGCCAATGCTGATATTCCAAGTGCGCCACGTATTCCTGTTGCTGTGACCAATGCAGCCAATGTGAAACCTGTTGCCGCAGAGCCGCCAATTTCTGCACGTGAAAAAGCACAAATTCTTGCCGCAGTAAAAGCTGAAGGCGAAAAGGAAACGGTTAAACAAGTTTTAGAACCTCAAGCCACTCAAGCCGAAAAAGAAGAAGTGGTTAAAGAGATTAAGGCGATTGCACCACAAGGGACAGAAGTGCTTGACCCGTATGATGGTAAAATTAAGCTGACTGCAATTCAAACCAGTCAATCTGTTGCAGAAGTTCAAGGTAAAGAAAATACGGTTGGATTCTCATATCCTAAAGGTTTAGCAGATACCACACCTGCAAACTCGGAAGAAGCCAAACTGAATCAGGATAAGAACTTTAAGAAAACCGAAACTGAAGTTGTGGTTGAACCACCAAGAGGTAAACGCAGTACTTATACCGTTTTGGCAGGGGATACTTTAGCAACGATTGCTTTAAAGAATGGCGTAAATTGGCGCGATATTGCCAAATGGAACCAAGTTGATCCAAACGGAACTTTATTTGTTGGGGCGACTTTGTATTTATATGATGCCAAACCACAAATTGATACACCTGTGGTTTCTCGCAAAACCACGGATTCAGCTCCAGCCAATTATGTGGTTAAACCAAATGACAGTTTAACCAGTGTGGCAAATCAGTTTGATTTATCTGTTTCACAATTGGCAAATTATAATAATCTGAATACCAACAGTAATTTATTTGTCGGTCAGAAATTAAAGCTTAAAGATGCTTCAGATGATAAATTATCTGAAATCAATAAAGCAGTGGTTCGTGCGGATACCTCTAAGCCTGTTGCAAAAATCAAGACTAAGGCTTATGCAGTTAAACGTGGCGAATATCTTAAAGTGATTGCCGATCGTTATGCTTTATCTGTACATGAACTCGCTGATTTGACTCCAGGTCTAGATACCTCAAGTAGCTTATTTGTGGGGCAAAAGATCAATGTGCCACTCAGTGAAGTCAATGAGCCAGAAGCTAAACTTGACTCTAAAGTGATTGATCAAAGTAAGTTTAAGAATGTAAAAGCTGAAACAACCTATAAAACTGAGAACTATAAAGTTCAAAGTGGCGATAGTTTATCCAGTATTGCGGTTCAGTCTAAATTAAGCTTGGCAGAATTAGCTGAGTTAAACAAAATTTCGACATCTAAAAACTTGCTTGTGGGTCAAATCATTAAGATCCCTGCTGGAACAACAACACCAGAAACCTATACTGTGCAATCTGGGGATAGCCTAATTGCGCTGGCAAATAAGTATAATTTGCAAGTTAACCAAATTGCCGATTTAAATGGTTTAAAAAGTACATCTGGTTTGTTTGTTGGGCAGAAATTGAAGTTGACTGGCACGCCTGAAACTAGCAGTAAAGAGAAAGCACAAGCGAGAAATGAGTCGAAATCAGAAGGCTCTAGTAAAGATATCCATGTGGTCAAATCAGGTGAAACACTGGCAAGCGTTGCAAAAAAATATAAACTGCAATTGTCTTATTTAAGTGAATTAAATGGTTTGTCGCGTAATCAGGCTTTGGATATTGGACAACGCTTAAAGCTTGATGGGGAATTACCCAGTAAATCCACGCTATCTAAAGAAAAAGAAGACCTAAAGGCGACTGCGAAAGCAACAGCTAAAGCTTCGAGTAAGAATACTGAAAGCTATGCGGTGAAGTCTGGTGAGTCGTTAAATGCGATTGCAAATCGTGTTGGTATGTCAGTTCAAGAACTGGCTGAATTGAATGATCTGAGCCCACGTGCGGGTTTACAACGTGGACAATCTATTCGTATTCCTAAAACAGTGACTGAATACAAAGTGAAAAGCGGTGATTCATTGATTCGTTTAGCCAGCAAGTTTGGGATTGATACCAGTGCACTTGCTGAGATGAATGAAATAAAACCAAACGCTTCATTACGCATTGGCAGCATTATTAAAGTTCCGAATCTTTAAGCGCCATTTTATTGGAACGACGTTTAAAGCTTAACCTTTCAAAAACTTTTTTGAATAAAGGAAAATAGGGGAATGCGCCTAAGTTTTGCATGTGTCAGCCCGATCGGGCTGGCATTGGGATTATGTGTTGCAACTATAAATGTTGATGCTGCTCTACAGACAACAGCATATATTGCTGTACATAATGCTCCACTATATGTCAAAGCCCAGGCGATGCCTTATGCCAATAGCAATGCACCCAAAGGCGGCTATATCAGTACAGCGAGTATAGGCACCTTTGATAATCTCAATAGTATGAATGGCAAAGGCAGTTCAACTGAAGGGATTAATTATCTATTTGATAGCTTAATGGATAGCTCACTGGATGAGCCAGGTGTGTTATATCCACTTCTCGCTGAAAAAGTTACTTATGATCCTGTTAAAACTAAATTTGTTATTTTCCATTTAAATCCCCAAGCTCGTTTTAGTGATGGTTCACCCGTCACGGCTGAGGATGTTAAATTTAGTTTTGATACCATTCAAAGCAAGGCCAATCTAGGCTTTCAAATGTATTTGTCTGATTTAGCCAAAACTGAGGTATTGTCTAAATATCAAGTGAAAATGACATTTAAATCAGACCACAATGCAGACATGCCCTTTATTTTGGCAAAAATTGCGATTTATTCAAAAGCAGATTGGAAAAATAAAGACTACAGCAAAGTGACCTTGCAGCCGATTTTAGGATCGGGGCCTTATCTGATTGAGCGTATTGATTCAGGGCGCAGTATTAGTTATAAGCGCAATCCAAATTATTGGGCAAAGGACTTAGCCATCAATCGTGGTCGTTATAACTTTGATCGCATGAAATATGTTTATTATCGAAGCCCCGAAATCGCTTTTGAAGGGTTTAAATCTGGACAATATCGCTTTTATCAAGAAAAAAATGCCCGTAATTGGGTCACCGAATATAATTTTCCTGCGGTAAAACAAGGTTTGGTGAAAAAGTATATTTCTAAGATTGAAACACCAGCACTCACGCAAAGTTTGGTTTTTAATACCCGAAAGGCGCCATTCAATGATCTCAATTTTCGCCAAGCATTAACCTATGCTTATGATTTTGAATGGATCAACAAAGCATTGTTATATGGTCAAAATATTCGCTTGCAAAGCCACTTTCAAAACAGTGAGCTTGCTGCGACTGGAAAGCCAAGCGCGAAAGAACTTGCAATTTTAACGCCTTATTTAAAGCAATTGCCCGCATTACAACGCCAAGGTGTATTGGCAGATTGGAAATATCCAGTTTCAGATGCCAGTGGATTTAACCGACAAAATTTATTGATTGCACGTTCGATGCTATTAAAGGCGGGTTATCGTTTTCACAATGGACAATTGGTGGATAAACAAGGTCGCCCCATTCAAATTGAATTTCTGATTCATCAAGATGGTGCACTAAGGACTTTGTTGCCGTATATTCGTAATTTAAAAAAACTTGGGATTCAGGCAAATATTCGTCAAGTCGATTTACCGCAATATACAGAGCGTATGCGCCGTTTAGATTTTCAGATGACCGCTATCGATATGCCGCAATCATTAACACCGGGGGCTGAACAGGCACAGATGTGGGGCAGTAAAGCTGCCGATGAAGTGGGCAATTACAATTATGCGGGTGTCAAAAGCCCAGTGGTCGATCAGCTGATTCAACAGATTATTTACGCACCGAACCGTGAACAATTGGTGCTTCGTACCCGAGCACTGGATCGGGTATTACGTGCAGGCTATTATCAAATTCTGACTTATGGCAATGATAAAAACTGGTATGCTTATTGGAATATGTATCAGCAACCCAAAGTTAAACCAAAATTATCCCTCGGTTTAGAGTATTGGTGGGTAGATGCAGATCAAGCGAAAAAAGTAGAGCAATATTTAAAAAAATGAGCAGTTTAAACGCATAATTTCAAATCTTCATGGTTAAAACATCGATGGCTCAACGTGAGTGATGTTTAAATTGACATATCTACCCTCATGAGGTCATAAGGAACATCGTTTCAATGGGCACATATATACTCAAAAGGCTGTTACTGATCATCCCGACATTGTTCTTTGTTCTCTTGATCAATTTTGTTGTGGTTCAAATTGCACCTGGAGGGCCTGTTGAACAAGCGATTCAACAAGCGGAAAACTTCCAAGGAGTCAACATGACTGCTGGGGGGCTATCATCTTCGGTCAATAACCATGAGTATCGTGGTGCACAGGGCTTAAGCGAAGATATGGTCAATAAAATCAAACAGCAATATGGCTTTGATCGACCTGCACATGAACGATTCTGGTTGATGTTAAAAAACTATTTAGCTTTAGATTTTGGCACAAGTTTTTTTAAAGATAAGCCGGTGACTGAGCTGTTATGGGAAAAAATGCCAGTCACCATTTCCTTGGGTGCGTGGAGCACTTTTTTAATTTATTTAATCTCAATTCCTTTAGGGATTAAAAAAGCCAAACAACATGGCTTATTTTTTGATAAATCAACTTCATTGCTTTTGGCTGTGGGCTATGCCGTTCCCGCTTTTGTATTTGCAATATTGTTGATCGTATTTTTTGCTGGTGGTTCTTATTTACAATGGTTTCCGTTACAAGGCTTTGTTTCAGATAACTTTCACAGTCTCAATTTATTTGAAAAAATAGCAGATTATTTTTGGCACATGGCTTTACCTTTGCTGTCCATGGTGTTGGGCGGATTTGCAAGTTTAACCTATCTGACAAAATATTCATTTATGGAAGAACTCAATAAGCAGTATGTGCTTGCAGCACGAGCAAAAGGCTTAACTGAAAATGATGTGTTATATAAACACGTATTTCGTAATGCATTGTTGGTGATTGTTGCCGGCTTGCCTGAAGTATTGGTTGGGGTGTTCTTTGTTGGAAATCTACTGATTGAAATTATTTTTAACTTGGATGGCTTAGGCTTGCTGGGTTTTGAAGCCGTGCAACAACGTGATTATCCGGTGATTTTTGGTGCTTTGTTCTTTCTAACCTTATTTGGGCTGATTTTACGTTTAATCTGTGATGTGGTTTATCGTGTGATTGATCCGCGAATTGATTTTGAATCGAGAGGTGCAAAATAATGTCACCGATCATGCAAGTACGAATACAGAAATTTAAGAAAAATCGCTTGGGTTTTGTCTGTTTCATCGTATTTATTGTTTTATTTATTCTTTCAATTTCTGCCGAATTTATTGCCAATGATAAGCCCTTATTGGTCAAATACGATCAGCATTATTACATGCCAGTTTTAAAGGCTTATCCTGAAACACATTTTGGTGGGGTCTTTGAAACAGAAGCTGATTATCGTGATCCGGTGGTTCAGCAGTTGATTGAGGAAAAAGGTTGGTCGATTTGGCCGCTGGTTCGTTATTCCTACCAAACTCCCAATTTAGATTTAGCCGTTCCTGTTCCATCACCACCCACCGTACAAAACTGGTTAGGTACAGATGATCAAGGGCGTGATGTATTTACCCGTATTCTTTATGGTCTGCGTATATCACTGTTGTTTGGTTTGGCATTGACACTATTTGCTGCATTTATTGGAATTATTGTTGGGGCGATACAGGGCTATTATGGCGGATGGGTGGATTTAATTGGGCAACGTCTGCTTGAAGTTTGGGGTGGTTTGCCGACTTTATTTATGGTGATCATCTTGGTCAGTATATTTACCCCGAGTGTTTATTGGCTATTTCTGATTATGTTGATTTTTGGCTGGACAGAGTTGGTCGGTATAGTCCGTGCAGAATTTCTTCGCGCCCGTCATTTAGATTATGTTCAAGCAGCACGTGCCTTAGGGGTGAGTGATTTGGTGATTATGTTCCGACATATCTTGCCCAATGTGATCAGTTCAAGTTTATCTCAACTTCCATTTATGCTGACTGCAAATATTACCGCACTTACTGCATTGGATTTTTTAGGTTATGGGCTTCCACCAGATGCAGCCTCCCTCGGTGAATTGTTATTACAAGGTAAAAATAATTTAAATGCGCCGTGGCTGGCTTTGTCAGGATTTTTTACTTTGGCCTTGGTGCTATCTTTATTGATTTATATTGGGGAGGCGACACGCGATGCATTCGATCCAAGACGTCAAAAATGATCCATCTTTGTTGTTGTCTGTCCAACATCTGCATATTGAAAATCAGCGTAAAGAGGTGCTGGTCAATAATCTTAACTTTGACCTACATGTCGGGGAAACTGTTGCGATTGTCGGGGAGAGTGGTTCAGGCAAATCAATCAGTGGTTTGGCCTTACTTGGCTTACTTCCTGAAAATTTAATTGTGACTGGACAAGCGTTATATGATGAGCAAAACCTATTGTCTCTTAATCAAAATGCGCATTTGGCGATCCGTGGTAAAAAAATTGCCATGATTTTTCAAGAACCGATGACTGCACTCAACCCGTTACACAAGGTTGAGCGGATTATTGGTGAGACTTTACTTTTAGATGGAATATCTAAGGAAAAAGTCAGAAAACGTGTCTATGACTTATTGTGTGATGTCGGAATGGACGAACCTGAGGATAAGTTGAATCGTTATCCACATGAGTTATCAGGTGGTCAACGACAACGTGTTTTGATTGCATCAGTTTTGGCACAAAAGCCTGAAATTATTATCGCGGATGAGCCGACAACAGCTTTAGATGTCACATTACAATCGCAAGTTTTAAACTTATTACAACTGCTTATTCTAAACCATAAAATGGCCATGATTTTGGTTAGTCATGACTTGAATTTGGTGCGTAAATATGCCAATCAAGTGATTGTGATGAATCAGGGGCAGGTTGAAGAAAAAGGCACTGTTCGAAATATTTTTCAAAACCCTAAAGCCAGCTATACCCAATATTTATTGGATCATGATTTTGGTGAAGCCAATGCTTTACCGCATAAACGTAATTTAGTTTTATCACTACACCGTGTTGGGGTGAAATTTCCAATAAGAAAGGGCATATTTAATCGAGTTAAAGATTATTTTGTTGCTGTTCAACCGATCAATTTACGGTTAGATCGCGCTGAGTCCATCGGTATTGTTGGGGAAAGCGGTTCAGGTAAAACTTCTTTGGCACTGGCAATCGCACGACTTATACAGTGCTCAGGCAATGTTTTCCTACTCAATCAGGACTTGAACCGATTAAGCCAGCGTAAATTACGCCCACTGCGATCCAATTTTCAAATTGTATTTCAAGATCCGTTAAGCAGTTTAAATCCACGTATGACTGTCGATCAGATTATTCGAGAGGGCTTGGCACTAAAACACCTAAAAGAAGCTGAAATGTTGATTCGTATCAATGAAATTTTAGACAAAGTAGATCTCCCGATAACAGTTAAACAGCGTTATCCGCATGAATTGTCTGGCGGTCAACGGCAACGTGTGGCTTTAGCACGTGCTGTGGTATTACGCCCTAAATTACTGATTCTCGATGAACCAACCTCAGCACTTGACCGGACCACACAACGTGCGATTGTAAAATTACTGCGTCAGTTGCAACAGGATTATCAAATGAGTTATTTGTTTATTAGTCATGATTTGCAGGTTGTAAAAGCACTTTGTCAGAAAGTTTTGGTATTAAAAGATGCTAAAGTTATCGAGTTTCAAGACACTCAAGCCTTATTTGATAAACCTTTAAATGACTATACCAAGCGATTAATTGCAGCGAGTCAGTATTAATGCTGTATAGATGATTGTGGTTCAAAAAATATTCACATTAACAAAGTTGACAAAATGTATTGTCAGATTTACGCTTGAACTATTATAAATTTAAATTAGAGTAAAAACTCTAATCACTAAAGAGATTTGACCATGAGCCATCTTGCACAAGCATTAGAAATAAAAAACACGCGATTTAAAAACCGAATCATTAAAGGTGCGATGAGTGAAGCATTGGCCAACCATGCAGGGCAACCGAACCAATTGCATTTAGGTTTATATGATGCTTGGGGGAAAGGCGGCTTGGGTTGTGCCATTACGGGGAATGTGATGGTTGATTTCCGTGCGAAGAATGAGCCAGGTGTTGTTGTAGTTGAAACTGAACGTGATCTTGCCAAACTGACTGAATGGGTAAATGTGGGTAAAAAGCACGGGATGGTACAACTGATTCAGTTATCACATCCAGGTCGCCAGTGTCCAAAAGGACTCAATAAAGAAACAGTGGCACCTTCAGCAGTGCCTTTTAGTCCAATGTTGGCAACGACATTTGGTACACCACGTGCACTTAATGAAGCAGAAATTTTGGATATCATTCAACGATTTGCTGAAGCTGCGCGGATCTGTGAAAAAGCAGGTTTTGAAGGTGTACAGTTACATGGTGCACATGGTTATTTGATCAGTCAATTTCTTTCACCATTGACCAATAAACGTCAAGATCAATGGGGCGGTTCAATTGAAAACCGTATGCGTTTCTTATTAGAAATTTATGCTGCAGTGCGTGCTAAAACCTCAGAAAACTTTATTATTTCAGTCAAACTGAACTCTGCAGATTTCCAGCGTGGTGGAATCACAGAAGAAGAAGTGGTTCAAGTATTTAAAGCCATTGATACAGCAGGGATCGATTTGATCGAAATTTCTGGTGGTACCTATGAAGCACCGGCAATGGCAGGCGCAAAAGCGGATAAACGTAAGCAAAGTACGATTGCACGTGAAGCATATTTCTTAGATTTTGCGGAAAAAATTCGTAAAGAGGTCAAATGTCATCTTATGGTGACAGGTGGTTTCCGTACAGCGCAAGGAATGAATGCGGCTTTAGACAGTGGTGCGTGTGAATTTATTGGGATTGCACGTCCTCTTGCGGTAGAACCTGAAGTCAGCAACAACTTGATTGCTGGTCAGGACGTTCGATATGCAGTAGAACAAATCAAAACTGGTATCCCTTTTGTTGATAAAATGGCGATCATGGAAATTCTGTGGTATGCCGCGCAGTTTAAAGCGATTGGTGAAGGGAAGAAGCCAAATCCTAAGCTTTCTCCACTCAAGGTTTTCTTTAATTATGCAAAAAATAATATCAAGGCAGTGATCCAAGGACGAGTAAACTCGCGAAAATCAGCCTAATAAAGATTGGGAAAAGCGTAGTCGCGACTTAGAAAATTGATTTTAAGGTTGCTTCTGGTCTGCTTTAGACCAATACGATTTAAATGTGTCAGCAGGCCATTGTCCTTTCACTAAAGCCGTTTGAAAGGCGGGTCTGCTTTCTATTTGCAGAAGATAGCGCTGAATTTCAGTGAACTTTTGATATCTTGGGTGAAGTTCAAAACAGACTTTGTTTCAACAAGGTTTAAATTAAAAATGTTGAACGGCTTATTATTACAAAACAAAGCCCTAAAAGACGTTAGGGCTTTGAAAGAAAGCAATCAATCTAGGTATTGGACAATGGGTTAATGCGCACAAAAAGCCATATTAAAATATTCAAATAATTCAGGCGTGTTCAACCACAGCATACTTGACAGCCCGAACAGAATAACAATAACCAACCAGATACTGAGCTTGAACCACGAGAATGAGTTAGTCATTAACCACAGCCTCTTCATTAACAAAGAAATGCACAATAACACCGACTATACACAAGGCAATTGAGCATCCCCAAATGATGTTGTAGTTACCCGTTATATCATGATTTAAACCGCCTAGCCATCCACCAAAAAAAGAACCGATTTGGTGAGTGAAAAACACCAGACCACTTAGCATGGTTAAGTATTTCACACCAAACATATTGGCCACAATACCATTGGTTAGGGGTACAGTCGAAAGCCATAAAATCCCCATAACGATACCAAAGGCGTAAACAGTCCAAATACTCAATGGCAGCATGAGAAAGGCAATAATCGCAATGCCACGTAAACCATATAAACCCATAAGCAGATGCGGTTTAGAATACTTGCCACCAAGCCAACCAGCGGTATAGGTTCCGATAATATTAAATAGACCAACCAATGCGAGAAAGATCGTTCCAGTGGAGGCATCAAAACCATGATCAATCAAATAACCCGGCAGGTGAATGCCTAAAAAAACCACTTGGAACCCACACACTGAGAAACCAAAGGCCAACCATAAAAAGGGTTTGTGTTTAAAGGCAATTTTAAGAATCTGTTTAAAGCTTAAATTGGGTTTTATCGCTTGTTTAATTGCATTTGGTGGTACATACATGGGTGCTTTAAGCATCCATGCCAATGGAACAATCAACACGATGAGTATTGCTGTAATGACCAATGCGGATGACCAGCCGAAATTTTTAATGAGAAGCAGGGTGGTTGGCAACATAATGAATTGCCCAAATGAACCAGCTGCACTGGCAATACCCATTGCCATACTACGCTTGCTTGGATGCGCTGCTCGTCCTACGGCTGAAAGTAATATCGAGAATGATGTTGCAGAGAGAGCTAAGCCGATAATTAAGCCAACACTGATATCCAGTAACAGCACATTTGAACTGATAGACATTAACAATAGGCCAATGGTGTAGAGCACCCCGCCTATCGCAACAATCTTCTTACTTCCATACCTATCTGCAAGCGCACCAGTAAAAGGTTGTACTGCGCCCCAGAATAGATTTTGTATGGCAATGGCTAAACTAAAAACCTGATGACTCCAACCAAACTCATGGCTCATGGGTACAAGATAAAGCCCAAAACCGTGACGTACACCTAAAGAGAGTGCCAGAATAAAAGCACTTCCAATAAGCATATAAATGAGTGGTTTAGAGAAACGCGTGTCGTCCTGTTGTACTGACATAAGCTATCCATTGAATCATCATATGAGAATTGTAGATGATTCAATGGGACTTAGCGATAGAATAAAAATTTATCAATCGATAAATTTTAGTGATCAGTCAGCACATTTTAATGAAAATAAATTTAGCTTTTAGAAGCGATAACCCACACCGACATAAGTAATCAGAGGATCAATATCAATTTTGGTTTTGGCTGTGACAAGTTGTTTGTTGGTATTTGAGTCTGAAATGGTAATGGTCGCATCACTACTCATTGGTGCATAAGTGACAGAGCCTACTCCAAACCAGCGATCATTAAAATCATAGGTTGCACCCAGTGTTGCCATTGGTGCCCAAGCATCATCTGCTTCTACTTTAACTACAGGATTTGCAGATGATTTTTTGCCATCTAGTGCTGCTCCAGCCTGTCCATCTAATACGTTCTGGATCATGTGACCTGCTGCAATCAGATCGTCTTTTACGCCATTATCGACTTTTAGGTGAGTAAAATGTGCATACATGACACCTACACCAACATAAGGCCGAAGTTTATTTACACCAGATTTACCAAATTGATAATGTAGTTCTGCCGCTGGCAACCATGCAGTTGCAGATGCTGCTTTTGAATGTTTTGTTAAATCAGTAATTGCAATATCTTTTTTCAAGTCAATATTGCCAAGTGGTGTAGAATCTTTACCGGTCAATGGTGCATAGATTTGGCCTTTGCCTTCTATCTCAACTTTAGGCGGAACACCTGCTTTAAACTCTAATGAAAGATTATCAGTGAAGTAGTAATTTCCCATCAGACCAAAAGTATCAACATCTTTTGCTGTTAGACCAGTGCCTTCAGAGGTCCAACTGGATAGACCATTGACTGTGGCTGTGCCCGTTAAAGCGCCAGGAATCGTGTCACCCAAAAGGCCGATTGCGCCATAAAGAAAAGGATTGGATTCTTTAACTGCTGCGTCTAAAACTGCTTTTTTAGAAATATCACCTACTTTAGATTGTGTTCCTTCTGCAACGGCAGTATTCACTTTGATAGGATTAGCGTTACCCTGTGGCATTGCATGTAGCCAACCTGCTGAAACAGAAAAGCGTTTAAATCCATCACCATCTTTCAGACTAAAATAAGGTGAATCTGCATGCGCCATCATGGGTAAAGTCATGCATGAGGTCATGATGCAAAGTAATGATTTTTTCATAGGTTTGGACTCCATGTCCGAAATTGATACTAATTTTTATGCGTTTTTATTATTAGAAGTTTTTGCTGTTAATTAATGTAGTCTTTACAAAGGCTTTTTTTAAGTGAATGTTCTTTTTTTAATGTTTTATTTATCGTAGGTTTATAAATGTAATACAACTGTAATCATGTTGTCATGATATTACATGCTAAAAATAGGTCATGGTCTCGGTTAAAAATAATGATAAAACATTGACTTGGCAGACAAGGAAAAACTCAAGCCATAAAAAAGGCCATATAAATATGACCTTTTGTTAAGCAGCATAAGTCATTTTAGTCAATGACTTTCGTTATTTTTGAAAACGAGATAGATCTTCTTCAGGGCGTGCGGTTAAAACTTCTACACCGTCTTTGGTCACCAGCAGGGTATGTTCATATTGAGCTGAAAGACTATGGTCTTTGGTCACCACCGTCCATTTATCACCCATTAAACGTGTTTGCCAAACACCCGCATTGACCATCGGCTCAATGGTAAAGGTCATACCTTCTTCTAAAACCATGCCTGAATTGGGTTGACCATAGTGAAGAACTTGAGGCTCATCATGGAATACCGTACCAATACCATGACCACAGTATTCACGCACTACACTAAAGCGTTCTGATTCAACATATTTTTGAATCGCTGCGCCAATATCACCAATGGTTGAGCCCGGTTTCACCGTTTCCATACCACGATACATTGCTTCTTGAGCAACTTTACACAAACGTTCAGCAATAATCGATGTTTCACCACCAACCACATACATCATATTGGTATCGCCGTGATAACCATCTTTAATCACAGTCACATCAATATTGAGAATATCGCCTTTCTTTAAAATTTTACTTGCAGATGGAATACCGTGACATACCACATGATTTACAGAGGTACAAATCACATGTTGGAATGCTGGGCGACCAGGCGCAGCGCCATAACCCAAACATGCAGGTATAGCGTCTTGTTTGTTGACAATATAGTCATGACAAATCGTATCCAATTCAAGTGTACTGACACCTGGTTTGATATGCGGTTTGATCATATCCAAAACTTCTGCAGCCAATCGACCTGCAACACGCATCTTTTCAATTTCATCTGCGGTTTTGATTAATCGACGTGGTGCTTCGTAAGTACTGTTCATGATCTTTAAAAACTTTTGGAAATTTGTATGTGACTATGGTATAAATAGCCGCCCAATTTATCAAATGCTTTCTGTGACTTTCTTTGTGAATGGTTTATGGAAATATTGATAAGGGTAATTTAAAAATCCGCACATATGTCGTCACATTACTCTGGGTGCCTGAAAGGGTGGAGAATGCGGACATATGGAGGCCTAACCCAAACTTTTAAGGTAAAGAAAATGGCAGATTACAACGTAAGCATGCGCGACCTTCTTCAAGCTGGCGCGCACTTTGGTCACCAAACTCGCTTCTGGAACCCAAAAATGCGTCAATACATTTTTGGTGCGCGTAACCGTATTCACATCATCAACCTTGAACATACTGTTCCTGCGTTAAATGATGCTTTGAATTTTGTTAACAATCTAGCAAGCAAAAAGAACAAAGTATTGTTCGTTGGTACAAAACGTGCTGCTTCTAACATCATTCGTGAACAAGCTCAACGCGCTGGTCAGCCTTATGTTGATCACCGTTGGTTGGGTGGTATGTTGACTAACTGGAAAACTCTTCGTCAGTCAATCAACCGTTTGAAAGATCTTCAAACTCAATCACAAGATGGTACTTTTGCTAAACTTACTAAACGTGAAGCATTAGAACGCGCTCGTGAAATGGAAAAACTTGAACGCTCTTTAGGCGGTGTTAAGAACATGGGTGGTTTACCTGACGCATTGTTCATCATCGACGTTGATCACGAAGCAATCGCGATTAAAGAAGCTAAAAACCTTGGTATTCCAGTAATCGGTATCGTTGATACAAACTCTAACCCAGATAACGTAGATTTCGTTATTCCTGGTAATGACGATGCGATCCGTGCTGTTACACTTTATGCTTCTGCAATGGCTGATGCAATTCTTGCTGGTAAAGAATACGCTCAAACTCAAGCGAATGCTCAAGCTAAAGGCGAAGAAGCTGCGAAAGAAGCTCCTGAGGCTTAATGCGTTTTGACGCAAGCTTGTCATTTTTGTGATTTAAAATAATGACAAATTGAGCGTCGAGAAAGCAAAACGGCCCAGAGGAACCTTTGGGCCGTTTTTGTTGAACAGATTCATATTCTACCGTATTTAGGAGAACAACATGACTGCAGTTACTGCGAGCATGGTAAAAGAATTACGTGACCGTACTGGTCTTGCAATGATGGAATGCAAAAAAGCATTAACAGAAGCAGACGGTGACATCGAATTAGCGATTGATAATCTTCGTAAATCAGGTCAAGCAAAAGCAGCTAAAAAAGCTGGTAACATTGCTGCTGATGGCGCGATCACAATTGCTCAAGAAGGTAACAAAGCAATTCTTTTAGAAGTAAACTGTCAAACTGACTTCGTTGCTAAAGACGAAAACTTTGCTGGTTTCTCTGCGAAAGTTGCTGCTGCTGCACTTGCTGCTGGTGTAACTGATGCTGCTCAAATTGCTGAATTGAAACTTGAAGATGGTTCAACTGTTGAAGAAGCTCGTATTGCGCTTGTTCAAAAAATCGGTGAAAACATCCAAGTTCGTCGTGCTGCAATTGTTGAAGGTGAAAACCTTGCAGTTTACAAACACGGTTTAAAAATCGGTGTTGTTGTTTCTTACACAGGTTCTGCTGAAACTGGTAAAGGTATTGCAATGCACGTTGCTGCGTTCAACCCAGTTGCTGTAACTGCTGAAGATGTTTCTGCTGATCTTATCGCGAAAGAGAAAGAAATTGCAGAAGCTAAAGCGATTGAATCTGGTAAGCCAGCGAACATCGTTGAAAAAATGGTGACTGGTTCAGTTGAAAAATACTTGAACGAAGTTGTTCTTGAGCGTCAACAATACGTAATCGACAACGACAAAAAAGTTGCTGAAGTATTGAAAGCGACTGCAACAACTGTGGCTCAATTCGTTCGCTTCGAAGTGGGTGAAGGTATTGAGAAGAAAGCTGAAATGAGCTTTGCAGAAGAAGTTGCTGCTGCTCAAGCGGCTGCTAAATAATTTTTACTCACTGAGTATAATTATTGAAAACCCCTCCTTAGAGGGGTTTTTTTTGTCTGTAATTTAATTGAAGTAGATTCAGAAGAATTAATTCATACATATCTAAAAGATTATTCTTTTATAATTCCACAATGAACATTGATTAGACTCAAACTTTATGGCAAATAAAACTCAACTTGGTATTGGTGCTGTAATCGCAGTGATCGTCGCAGCTTATCTAGGTGTTGATCTTAATCAACAAACAAATCAAGCAACTGAATCCTCTAAAGTTGAATCGATCGATCAGCAAAACAATCATTCACAAGACAATACACAGCATGTGAATGAGCAAAGTAAAGATAACCAATTTAACGATAAGCCGTCTGCCAATAGTCAAAATCAAAATGGCCTTGAGGTTATTCGAAAAGCCTATGATGCAAAACTCAGTAATGTTCAAGTAAAATCCATCGGTCGAGTAAAAGCCGTGTTGCGTGATGATAATGAAGGTTCGCGCCATCAAAAATTTATTCTTGCACTGGATAATGGCTTAACTGTATTGGTTGCACATAATATTGATTTAGCACCACGCATAGATAATTTACGCAAAGGTGATACCGTCGAATTTTTTGGCGAGTATGAATATAGTAATCAAGGTGGTGTAATGCATTGGACACACCATGATCCAAAGCGTCGTCATCAAGATGGTTGGCTAAAACATAATGGAAAAACCTATCAGTAATCTATTGGTTATTTTCTTAGGTGCACAAAAGATTAGGTCTTGTTTAAACGTATAAATAGCAATTTTGTTCTATACGCTTTTTATAAACATGCTATTTTTAAATTATTATCAAAAGTCTGAATAGAAAAAATGCAGGAGTGGGCAAGCTACTTTCACCTAAAAGAATTGGGTGGATTAGAGTTGTTAAAAGCACAGTATCACCATAAGCAATTTTCAAAGCATGTGCATGAAGGTTATTGTATTGGTGTGATTGAAGATGGTGCACAGAGTTTTTATCGGACTGGGCAGTTACATACAGCACCGAAGGGCGACATTATTTTAGTCAATGCTGATGAAATTCATACAGGTTCATCTGCTGTAGAGTCAGGCTGGAAATATCGTGCAATTTATCCAACGCCAGAAATGTTGTTAGATGCAGGGCAAGATTTTTTTAGTGTTAAAAATAGCGTACCGTGGTTCCCACAAGCAGTTGTGCAAGATGTTGGATTGGCACAGCAACTCTGTTTACTTTTTGATTTATTAGAACAAAAAGAAAATACTTTACTGAAAGAGAGTATGTATTTATCCACTTTAGCTCGCTTAATCAGTCGCTATGGTCGTGCCAAATTAACACCTGCTGAATTACCAGAAGCACAACGGAAAGTTGAAATAGTTAAAGATTTATTAAGCAGCTTCCCTGAGCATGATTATTCGCTCACTGATTTGGCGACCTATGTAGGATTAAGCCCTTGGCATTTTTTACGTGAATTTAAAAAATATACGGGATTACCACCGCATAGCTGGTTGGTTCAGGTCCGCTTACAGAAAGCGCGCCAATTATTAAAACAAGGTCAGAGTATTGCAATGACTGCCCAAAATAGTGGTTTTTCAGATCAAAGTCATTTTAATCGACATTTTAAAAAAGCAGTCGGGGTTACGCCTTCTCAATATTTAAGTACCTTAAATATTTAATAAATGTATTAGGAAATAACCATTTAAACGCTCACAGCCCCTCACCAAATAGCAATTTCATCCAAGCGATCACTGAGCATTTATAAGATACTGATTAAATTCTTAGATTTGGATTTTGCAAATGAGTGATCAATTTGAATCTTATACTGCCGAGATTGAGCCGAAGTCTAAGCAAAATAAAAAGGCTTTTTTCCAAGGTGTGGTCGATATTTTACCTTTATCTATCGCCGTACTGCCTTGGGGTATTCTGGCTGGCTCAATGGCAATCAATGCTGGATTAAGCTTTGCACAAGCATTCTCAATGTCCGCTGTTGTATTTGCAGGTGCAGCACAGTTGGTGAGTTTAGGTTTAGTCATGTCACATGCATCTGCCTTGACGATTATGATTACGGTATTTTTCTTAACCAGTCAGCATTTAATTTATGCGCTTAATTTTCGTCAAGATGTCAGTCGTTTTCCGTTTAAGCAACGCATATTAATTGGCTTCTTGCTGACAGATGAACTGTTTGCTGTCGGCATTGGCAAAGATAAACAGCGCAGCTTTGCTTATTTGTTTGGTGCTGGGCTGTGTTTTTATTTGGCTTGGTGCCTATTTAGTGTGTTAGGAATTGTACTGGCTAAATCAATTCCAAATTTAGAAAGCTTACATTTAGATTTTTCAATTGTTGCGGTATTTATTTTGATTATTGTGCCGATGGTGAAAAATAGCGCAACTTTGGTAGGCGTCATGTGTACCTTGCTATCTGCCTGTATTTTTAAATATTTTCAATTTGAAGGGGGCATTGTGCTATCCGGGATTTTGGGGATGTTTAGTGCGATGTGTACGGCAAAGATCGTTGGAGTAAAAAACATAGGAGTAGCAAAATGACATGGGCTTTATTGTTAACTTTGGCAGGCATTGTATTGATTAACCGTTACTTTTTCTTGGAACCTAAAATCGCCCTGAAATTACCTCGTGTAATTGGAAATATGTTGCAGTATTCAGCACCATGTTTGCTGACTGCAATTTGTGCACCAATTGTATTTTTTAATGGAGACCAATTCCGTGCATTGCCTTTGGATGCCTATTTTTTAACAGCAATGATCTGTGTTGTTTTAGCACTTATTTCTAAGAAAATTCTAGTCAATTTAGCTTTAAGTTTATTGTGCTTTTACGGGTTATTTTATCTGTTAAATTGAAAAAAATGGAGGGAAAAGCCGAATTGGATTTTCCCTCTGGTTTATTTGCGCTAAAAAGCCAGTTTCTGGCGTGTTTTCCATTTGGGTAGTACTTTACCAAGATAGGCATCCATACACCATACAGGGCCAATGAGGAGGAATTGAAGGTCTTTAAAGAAAGAAGGCTTTTTACCCTCGACTTTGTGACCATAAAATTGACCAATCCAAGCCAAAATAAACACCCCAATATAGAAACCAAAACCAACAGGAAGTAAGTAAATGATCCATGCCATGACTGCAATTAATGCGGTCATTGCTACAGCAAGAACAATATCCAAACGGGCATAGAAAACCAAGGTAAGAACCAGAAGTAGTGCGGTAAGCAAAGCACTAAAATGTGCAAGAATCCCAATGATGGCAAATAAAATCGCGGGAACACAAGCCCAATGGATGGCTTTATTGGTTTTGTTTTGATGACTTTCGCTATATTCATCAAACCATTCGGTGATTGTTTTCATTTGGCGCTCCATGCATGTGGTTGGCTATATTTATTTTGCTGAAAACAATATAAATCAGAATAATGTTTTGGTCAAAATACCGGCTTTAAATAAAACCAAGTGCTGGTCAGGGGGAGTTCAATGTGTGGCCTGATAGAAATTTAAAATATCACGTGCCCAGCTTTGGTGTTCTGGTTTAACTGTGACTTTGATTTCCTGAAAATTGGTGACATCGTTGCCATCACTTTCATCGGCATAATAGGCGATCCCATGTGTTTTGTTGGGATAGTTGGGAATTTGATAGCTAAAATACACTTTATTTTTATTGGCTTTGACGATGTTTAGCAAACGATTTTTATCTTCAATGGCACCAAATTCATTGTCTAAACTGAGTTTTTTGACATTGGGGAAATATAAACTTGCGTTATGCATGGCACAGCCAACACAAGCGGAAGAATTATAAATGGTGATGACTTCATCTTTTTTACGGCTTGCCAGCACAGCATACGCAACGCCAGAAGGTCCCATATCCGTGCTGATCACTTGCCATGATAGGGGGACAAGTACAGGACCAATACCCGGCAGTAAGATGATTTTAAAGTTTTTTGCTTGAGTCGCAGATAATGTATAACTGAACTGACATTTCACTTGCTGGGTATTGTTGATCTTACAGACGGCATCATCTTTGTAGAATCCTGTATCGTTAAAAGGATTGGGAATTGCAGCAATATAGGTATCCACTGTTACATTATTGCTGAGTGTGGCTGCGGGGAGTTTTTCAAGTTGGTGTTGTGGGTGAGGTGCTTGGTTGGTTTTTAGATCAGGAAAAGTGGCTTTGAAAATAGCGATATCTCCATAAGCAAAACTACTTAGGCCCAATAGTATGATTAAAAATTTCGAATTAAGCATGTCCTATCCCGACTAGTCCTTACTGATCCTTATTGGGGACTTTGATAAATCAATTGACCTTCTTTATAGGTTGCCAATATTTTGATGTCTTTAATCTTTTGAGTGGGCACTTTTAATGGGTCTTGATCTATCACCACAAGATCCGCCAATTTGCCTTTTTCTAAGGTACCTTTGTCTTTTTCTTCAAAGTATTGGTATGCAGCCCAATCTGTGACTGATTTTAATGCAATATAAGGGCTGACCTTTTGATCCTCACCTAATACATCTCCAGAACGGGTGGTACGATTGACGGTTGCATCAATCACCATCATATTTTTAGGAGGGATGACTGGAGCATCATGGTGTTCAGTAAAAATCATATTTTTTCTTAATGCAGAACCTGTAGGGGAAATTCGGTTGGCACGTTCTGCGCCGAGCGTTTCATGTTTATGCCAATCGCCCCAGTAGTAAGTATGTAATGAGAAGAACGAAGGAATAAGCCCTAATTTCTTGGCTTGATCTAATTGATCCTCACGCATGGTTTGTGCATGAATAATCACATTGCGGCGATCTGCTTGGCCATATTGTGCATTGGCTGTCTCAATAGTTGCGAGATATTGGTCAATTGCAGCATCACCATTGGCATGTGCAAGAATTTGCCAATGGTTCTTATAAGCCAGATTAATTGCATCTTGAACCATTTTTGTATCTGGATAGGCTGAATAACCACGATAGTCTTTAGGTTTTCCCTCTGGTGGGATGAAGTAAGGTTGCGTTAGCCATGCGGTTTTGCCTTGTGGGGAGCCATCTAGGCTGATTTTAACCCCACCAATTCTAAAATGATTTTGATAATTGAGACTACTGCCATTTTTCAGCATGTATTCTTTTTCATTGATGATATCTGGATAAACCACGACATCAATATTCAATTGATTGATGGCCGCAAAACTTCGCCATAATTCAGCTGTACCATGATCAGCACGACCTTCTTGTACAGTGGTATAGCCATTTTTGATATAGGTATTCAGTGCTGTTTTTGCCATATTTTGCATGATTTCAGGTGGAACTTTACTAAATGCAGTTGCCATTGCTGAAAAAACAGCAGCTTCTTCAAGTACACCATTTGGCTCTTGAGAATTTGCTTTACGGCGAATAATACCGCCAGTTGGATTTGGGGTATTTTTATTGATGTTTAAAAGTTCAAGAGCCTTATGATTTACAGAGGCTAAGTGTCCTGACTGATGTAAAACAATAATTGGGTGATTGGTGGAAACCAAATCTAAATCATCTGCTGTAGGATGTCGTTTTTCTTTAATTTGGGCGTCATCATAACCATTTCCAATAATCCAGCCTGAGGTTGCTTTGATAAACTCTGGATTGTTTTGTTGCCACAATGAAAGTTCACGAATCAATGATGCAATATCTGAAACGTTACCATCGGGCATAGGGTAGAGATTTGCCACAGTTTGCTGTAGACCTACACTATTTAAATGGCTATGTGCATCAATAAAACCAGGCAGCAGGGTATGACTGTTTAAGTTAACCTCTTGGGTATTTTTTTGTTTTAATTTTTGCGCTTGTTTTAAATCACCTGCAAAGACAATTTTTCCATCCTTGACCACTAGCGCTTCGACATAATGAGGTGACATGCCTTGCATGGTTAAAATTGAGCCACCGTAAAATAGCGTATTTGTTTGTGTCAATGTTGCAAGATCAGCAGGGGTATTCGTGTTTGTTGGAGATACTGTGGTACAGCCAGTAAGCGAGCCGATACCAATTACGCAAATGATGGGTGCAATTGCACGGACAAGTTTTGATGGGCTACTGATTTGAAACATGAATAATCCCCAATTTTGTTTTATTAAATATTGCTCAAAACAGATGAATTGAATTGTTTATTTTATTCAACCTAGCAAAGATTTTGATCTGCGTATAGGTTTGATATGTGTTTAAAAAATGATAAGTGTTTTTGCATTTGAGCAATGATCTTGATTCATCCTAAACGATTTTTTATTTATATACAGCCTAAATAAATCTTTTTCTAAAATAAATCACAGATAACAGTGCCAGTGCTAAACCAATAAATGAGGGACCATAACCGATAGGAGCAGCAAGTAAGCCAACAATCACAGCTCCTGCTACAGCTCCACCATAATTAAAAATATTCACCCGTGCGATAATTTCATCGCGTCGATTTTCATCTAGACGACCTGCTGCTGAAAATGTCAGCGGGACTAATGCGCCTACCGCAATACCAGCCAGTGCAAAACCAGCAATGACAATCGCCAATGAATGCCCTAAGCCAGCTATGGCACAGCCTGTTGCACCAATCAGCGTTGTGATGAATGCAACCCATGCAGCGCTTTTAAATTTTAAAAGATAATCTAGACTTAAACGTGTGAGTAAAATACCCATTTGGTAAGCGGCATAACCCAATGGTGCGACTGTGGCTGAGCTTGCTAAAATATCTTTAAGATAAATTGAACTCCACGTGCTGATTGCTGAGTCGACAGTAAAGGCGATGAGAATGATCACACCAAAAATAAGCAATTGTTTATGCGGAATTGGTGATCGTTGTTGAGGGTGTAGGGCAGCATTTTCTTTTTGTTGAAATAACCACCGTTTTGAAACTTGCGATGTAATCAAACACATCATGACAGCAATGCACAATGCCGCTGTTGCCCCAAGTGTGGTTGAGACTGTCGCGGACATGATTAACGCACCAAGGAAAGCAGCAGCGGTATAACAGGCAAAAAAACCGCCTAAGGCGCTTTTTCCAAGTTTTTGTTCCATCATGACAGCTTGCATATTCAATGCAGCATCTAAACATCCAAGTCCAAGCCCATAAAGTAAAAAACTAGCGACCATGATCATGGCACTGGGACTAAATGCTGCAATTGCAATACCGATGGCTTCAAATAGCAAGCCGATAACAATAGCCAGCCTTGAACCTAGTTTTACAGCGAGTCGATCTGCCAAAATAGAACCCAGTGCTGCTGCAATACAGACGCCAAGGATAATAATCGACAGTTGATCATCTGAAAGTCTGTATCGGCTTTTGATTGTAGGAAGCGCAGTCATGACGCTGGCATAACCCAAGCCTTGCGTGGCAAAACCAAGTGCGATTATTTTTTGGGTTTTGCTGAGAGATATATGCGCGAAGTTTGGCGTTTTGCTGTTCACGTCCATGCATGGCTCACTTTTTTACTTTTAGAATTTAAACTTCGGTTTTCGTTTTCTGTTTAGTGATACATCCTGTATCGACTCGCATTTTATTTTATCTGGAATGTATTGAAAGAAAAGGGGCATAACTGGAAAGTTAAGGGGGTAATTCGGACATCTGTATTTTTATTTTTGCAATAAAAAAGCCACTGGAAAGTGGCTTTTGTTAAATGCATGCAGTGATTTACGAGTTTGGACCATCTACGCGTTCAATATTAACGCGTGCTGTTCCTGAATTTGTAATACCTAAACGCTTAGCAGCGCCGTAAGAGAGGTCAAGTACACGGTTACCATGGAAAGGACCACGATCGTTGACTTTAACCACTACGCTTTTACCATTGTCTTTATTGGTTACACGAATAAAGCAGTTTAATGGCAAGCTACGGTGTGCAGCAGTCAAATCATTCATATCGAATGTATCACCGCTTGCGGTTTTACGGCCGTGGAACTGACGACCGTACCAAGATGCAACACCAGTTTGGCTAAATTTGCGAACTGTGTTTGAAGCAACTTCATTAAGTTTATCAATTACTGAAGGCTCATCTTCAGGAACTTGAATCTTTGCTGCAATAGTTTGACGACGGACTTGATCGCCAGAACGTTCAGTAATTGACAAACTGTTTAGGTTTGAAAAATGAGAGTTGAAATTTGTTGAATCTTTGCTAATCACACGAGAAGCTAGACTCGAACTATCCGAATCATTGTTTAAGTATGATGACTGAACCATTTCTGAGTTGACTTGCGTCATACTCAGACCCATGGTCAGGGCCATCATATATTTTAGTGAAGCATGCATCGTTTAACTCCTTGGAACCTCAATTTTAACTTTCTAAGTCGCTGAAAATTAACCATAGAGGTCTGTAAATTCACTTGTGCAACTGCATTTAACGGAAAGGATAATATTCAAGCTGGAATAAATGTGTCTAGCATTATTTAAGAAACAGTTACAAAAAGGACAAATTCTTACAGGTTTTGGTTAAAAAATAATCAATATTGTAACAAATTATGAAAAAAGTATTAAATGTGATCAAATTAACATAAAAAAATCTTGACTTATTTATTGTTTGGGAAATTGCAAGTCTTAACGACTTACAATTTCGGTGCCTAAAAGCCATAAAGCGGTGGCATACATACGGCTTCTATTATATGTCGTAATCACTTGAAAATTAGGATAAGTAATATAATAAATAGGGCCATTGCTGTCTTGTAATTGAATCACATTAACCAAATCTAAGTCATCAATTTTGACGATTGGATTTAATGGAGAAATCCCTAAATTTTTAAGTGATCCATAGGGAACAGGCTGAGTTAAATCTTTTGCAATAACTGCTTCAGGATTGTTCCCTGTATAACGCGCTAAAAACGCAATGGGGCGATCACGCTGCCAGCCATGTTGAGCCAGATAGTTGGCAATCGAACCAATCGCATCGACCGCAGAGTTACGTAAGTCAACATGACCATTTCCATCGTAATCCACGCCAAATTTAGACACATTACTTGGCATAAATTGCGGATAACCTACTGCACCTGCATAAGACCCAACAATCGAATTGGTTGGAACGCCATCTTTATATGACCATGCAATTAAAGCACCCAACTCATCTTGGAAATATTGCGCACGGCGAGGATAACCAAAACCGAGGGTTGCAAGTGCATCACGGGTGATAAAGGAGCCCTTATTTGAGCCATAACCTGTTTCCACCCCTAGAATGCCTAGGATGATTGCTTGAGGCACCCCAAACTGCTGTTCTGCGCGATTTAGTGTATCTGCATATTGTTGTTTAAAACGCACACCACGTTGGATGGTGCCTTCAGCTAAAAAATTAGTTTTGTATTGATACCAAGGCTTACTTTCACCTGGTCGTTCCATTATGCTGATGATATTGGGTAAATTGCGTGAGCCGTTCATTGCCCAATCAATTTGTTCGCTACTTAAACCATAGGTTTGCATGGTTTTGGCTTTAAAATTATTGTATTCAGGGTTGCTGGCAAAATCATTGGCTTGGCAGAAACTGGTCAGTGAAAGTGCAGCTGCACAAAAAGTGATGTTTTTAACCTTCTGTAAAAGCCCAAAAGTAAACATAGGTTATATTTCCTAATTATTTATGATAAAAAATTAACGATGTGTATGTATAGACATCACAATGCCAAAAGTGGCCATTAAAGTAATAATTGCAGTACCACCATAACTCATAAAAGGTAATGGCACACCGACTACAGGTAAAATACCACTGACCATGCCCGCATTTACAAATACATAAACAAAAAATGACAAAGCAAAAGTACCGGCTACAAGTCGACCAAAATTATGGAAGCATTGTAAACTCATTTGAAAGGTTCTAAAGATAATACAAAAATAAATGATGATCAGAAGTAGGATACCAATCAGACCGAATTCTTCAGAAAATGCGGCAATAATAAAGTCAGTATGGCCTTCAGGTAAAAAATGTAAGTGCGATTGAGTGCCTTCCAAATAACCTTTACCCATAAAGCCACCCGAACCAATCGCTGTTTTAGACTGAATGATGTTCCAGCCTGTGCCTAAGGCATCGGCTTCTGGATTAAATAAAGTTAAAACACGTTGTCGTTGATAGTCATGTAGTAGAAATTCCCAAGCGACTGGAATTACTACTGCAACAGCACTCACGGCACCTAAAATCATTTTCCAAGAAAGACCACTCAGAAATAGCACAAAAATCCCACTGGCTAAGATGAGCAATGATGTGCCTAAATCGGGTTGTTCTGCAATAAGGATAAAAGGAATGCCGATCATGATCAGTGATAAAAACACATTTTTAAAACTAGGTGGTAGAGGGTTACGGGATAAAAACCATGCAATCATCAATGGCATACCAATTTTTAAAAACTCACTGGGTTGCACACTGCCAAAACCAGGAATCCCTATCCAGCGTTGAGCACCCATGCGAACCTCACCAAAGACTTTCACAGCGACTAAGCAGACCAGTCCGAAGAGATAAAAGTAGGGGGCAAAAGCTTGATAAACTTTAGGGGGAATTTGGGCTAAACCACACATGACGAGAAAACCGATACCAAAGCTCATGGCTTGTTTGGAAACCAGCCCCATATCTTGAGCAGACGCACTATAAAGGACAGTTAAACCGAGCATCGCGTTTAAAATTAGAAATAAGCTCAACCAAGGGTCAATATGGAGTTTTTGCCAGCGTGAGGGGATCATGGCAGTACTCAGACCATCACGAGGAGATTGACGTAAAAATTTATATTGAGAGCTTGGTGCCATTGGTCTATTTTGTGCGGGAAATGTGTTTTGCGCATGCTATCACAATCCCCTCCGAAGGCAATGAATATCAATACTTTGCAACAAAATTATGACCTGAATTTTGTGATTATTTTGAGGTTGAAATATTTAAATTAGAAAATAGTGGGTTAAATAGATTGAATTAAATGGTTTTGAATTTGAAAAGGTCTTAGAAGGATCTAGGGATAGTATTTTATAATGATTTTAAGTTTATGAATTTAATGGTTAATTATTATCCTTAAAAGCATAGCTCTGTAACTTTATAAAAAATGCCCTTACGAAGAAGGGCATTTTTTATATTTAAAAATCCAATCGAATTTTAACGATCAATTAAAAAATAAAGTATCGTAATATTCTGCAACAGCTGTGATTTCATCTTTATTTAAATTTGGAATCAACTTATCAATTGCCATATGCACTGCTTTGCCTACAGCAGACGCGCCAATATCCGCAGCCTTACGTTTGATCATACCCAAATCCAGCGTTTTATTGAAATCACGCATAAAATGGTTAATCGTCGCATCTGAGAATTGTTTGAATTGTTCAGACAATACAGCGCGATTTACATCCCCATTTGCTTGAACTTCAGCAAAACTATTTTTGAGATTGGTGACTAAACTTGAGTCTAAATTCACACCCACACGGAATTGACCTTGTGGATCTTTAAATAGACTACGTTCTGAAAATTCTACAGACTGACGAACCACATCATTGTCAGCTTTACTTAATAATTGTTTAAGTAACACAGCAACAGTCGATTTGACATAGCCTGCTAATTTTTCAGCAGTATCTCGTTTGTCACTTGCAGGGAAGCGACGAACAAGTTCAATCAAAAGCGTATCAATAATTTCTTCATTAATGAGTAAGGCAGTTTGATCACGTAAAGGATAAAGTGGTTCGTTAGAGTTTTTTTTCTCAATACCGGTCTGAATGTTCTTTAATAGTTCTTCAGAAGGTACAAAACCAAAAAAAGGCATGTTTTCAACCTCAATGTTTATTGTCGCGCCAATCGAATTGGGCTTGGCATCCATGATTCATCAGATACACGACATGGGTTAATATCTAAACCACCACGACGTGTATATGTTGCATACACCATCAGCTTTTCAGGTTTTAAATTTTGCCAAATATCGGCAAAGATTTGTTCCACGCATTGTTCGTGAAAACCGTTATGCTGACGATACGAGATAATATAAGCTAAAATACTACGATAACAAGGTTTTTTACCTTGGTATCGGATAAAAACAGTTCCCCAATCTGGTTGTCCAGTCACAGGGCAATTGCTTCTCAATAAGTGTGAATACAGTTGAATTTCAACGTTTTCGCCGTGTTGCGTATTTTCTTGATCAAAGGCCAAAAGGCTTGCATCTGGATGATTGACCAGCTGGTCAGGTTCTTGATCATCAATACAAATACCCGTTGGTTTAGTAATGTCTAAATCATCAACTTGAAATAAAGTTAGCGTCACTGTTGCTTGTGCAGCAGCAGATAAGTCTTTTTCTACGGTATTGATAAAAGCTTGATGAGAATCAAACTGGGTAAAGTTCATACTATTAAAGTAGAGCTTTAACGACTTCGATTCAATCAAATTTGCTGATGTTGCAGGGAGCGCAATACGCCCAATGGCAACTTGCGGGATTCCTTTGACATTTAGCCAAGAAATTTCGAATACATGCCACCAATCTTGACCTTTATATATACCCGCTACATCCGCATATTGCTCACGTGCTTGTGCACGAGCGATTGGGAAAAGAATTTCGGGTTGATAGGTAGTTGGGTAATCGGTTTCTTTACCCAATAAAGATTTTTCAACAGACATTATTCACGCATTCCTGAACCACGAGAAAGTAAATAGTAGGCAATTGCATAAAGTACGCCACAGAAAAGGGTCACGATAAGTAAAGACAATGAAACATTGACATCACTATGACCTAAAATTCCGAAACGGAAAGCATTGACCATATATACAATCGGGTTAATTAAAGACAGATTTTGCCAAAATGGACTTAAAGCACTAATCGAATAAAACACACCGCCTAAGTAGGTGAGGGGTGTTAATACAAAGGTTGGGATAATCGAAATATCATCAAACGATTTTGCATATACAGCATTGATAAAACCACCTAAAGAGAACAGTAGCGAGGTAATAATAACGGTATATATCGTGACGAAAATATTATGGATATAAAGGTCTGTAAAGAACAAACTCATTGCAGTGACAATTGCCCCAACAAGAACGCCACGGGCAACACCACCAATCACATAACCACATAAGACCATATGTAATGGAACTGGACTCATGATCAGTTCTTCGATACTTTTTTGGAATTTAGCACTAAAGAAACTTGAAGATACGTTGGCATAACTGTTTGTAATCACCGCCATCATGATGAGGCCCGGCACGATGAATTGCATATAGCTAAATCCACCCATTTGCCCAATACGAGAACCGACCAAATTACCAAAAATCACAAAGTACAAGCTCATGGTGATCGCAGGCGGTAATAAGGTTTGCGGCCAAATTCGCATAAAGCGGCGGATTTCTTTTTGAACTAATGTATAGAGTGCAATACGTAGTTGAGTAAAATTCATTCTGCAACTCCTTCAAGATTTTTCTCAACCAGTTTCACAAATAACTCTTCAAGACGATTTGATTTATTGCGCATACTGCGAACACGAATGCCTTGCGCTTCTAAAAGCTGAAATAAATCATTTAAAGAATGCGCTTTATCCATCGTGACTTCTAAGGTCATTGGGTCAATCAGATTAAACTTCACACCAATGATATCAATCATGATTGGTTCAATCGGATTTTCTAAATCGAAAATAAAAGATTCTTCACTCAATTGGTTTAAGAATGCTTTCATCGATGTATCTTCTTTGATAACACCACGGTCAATAATCGCAATCTGACGACAAAGCATTTCTGCTTCTTCTAAGTAGTGTGTGGTTAAAATGATCGAGGTGCCTTTTTCATTCATTTCTGTAAGAAAATCCCACATTGAACGGCGTAACTCGATGTCTACACCTGCAGTGGGTTCATCTAAAATCAAAAGTTTAGGTTCATGCATCATGGCTCGCGCAATCATTAAACGGCGTTTCATACCACCAGACAACATGCGCCCCTGAGTATTACGCTTATCCCATAAACCTAATTTTTCTAAATATTCTTCAGCACGTTGTTGTGCAATTTTAGGCGGAATACCGTAATAACCCGCTTGAGTGACTAAGATGTCGAAGATTTTTTCAAATTGACCGAAGTTAAATTCTTGAGGAACGACACCTAAACATTGCTTTGCATGTGAAGGGTGGGTATCTAAATCATGACCAAAAATTTCCACAGTACCTGAGGTTTTCCGTGCTAAGGAACTGATAATACTGATTGTTGTCGATTTACCAGCGCCATTTGGTCCTAAAAGTGCATAAAACTCTCCTTCTGGAACAGTCAAATTGATTCCTTTGAGTGCTTGGAATCCATTTCTATAGGTTTTAGATAAATCTCTTAACGTCAGAGCATCAGTCATGAAATTCTCACTTGGTTTATGGAGTGTGTATTGTGAGCGATCTTTTTAAATAAACCAAGTAAGTTAGAAGGAATTCTGCATTGCAAATATGCAACATTGTTTAAAGCATGAGCATCAATCAAAAGAGTTGTTTTATAAATGCTTTACCTCGCGGTTTTTTTTGTTATGATGTGCCATCTCAATTTAAGCGCCCATAGCTTAACTGGATAGAGTACAGGTTTCCGAAGCCTGTGGAGTGGGTTCGAGTCCCGCTGGGCGTACCATCTTGCTGTTCCTCCTTGTTTCAATTTGTCTCAAAACCCTTTATATTAAAAGAATTCGTAAAATTCATTGTCGCAGTTTGTCGCATGATGTACCGCCATTTCTCAAGTTTTTAACGGTACTTTATACGGTATACCGCAAAACCCAATAAAAATGTACCGTAAAAAATGGCTAAACTCGTTGTAAGTCTTACAGACTCAAAGATAAAAGCTGAAATCTCAGCTCAAAAGAAAGCCCCTGATAGAGTTAAAAAGTTATCGGATGGGAATGGCTTATACTTATATATAGATAAGAAGTGCGGAACTTACTGGCGCTTTGACTATGTTCGCCCAATCTCAAAAAAGCGCGCAACATTAAGCATAGGTGTTTATCCTGAAATTACTTTAGCAATGGCTAGAAAGTACCGTGATGAATACCGTGAAATGCTCGCAGATAACCGCGATCCATCTGTTGAAAAGAAATTTGAAGAAGATCAGGCCAAAAATGCATTGGCAAATACATTTGAACAAGTCGCTCGTGAATTCATGAAGACTGAAAGCGTTATGCCTTCCACTGCTTCACGTAATGCCTTTTCATATCAACATTTATTTGATGCAATTGGTAAACGTCCCATTCACGAAATTACAACTCGTGAGCTTTTATCAGTTTGCCAAGTTTATGAAAAGCAGGGTAAGTATGAAGCAGCTAGACGAATGCGATCCAAAGCCAGCCAAGTTTTTAAATATGCAATTGTGCTTGGTTTCTGTGATCGTAATGTTGCAATGGATATTCAGGGTGTATTAAAGACAGGAAAGGTTAAGCATCATTCAGCTGTAACGGATCCTGAAGCATTGGGTCAACTTCTTTTAAACATTGATGGCTATGACAAACGCGGATCGATCATCACTTGTTATATTTTAAAAATTTTGCCTCAAGTTTTTGTTCGACCTGGTGAATTAAGAATGGCGAAATGGGAAGATGTGGATCTTGAAAATGCCACATGGTCCTATACACCCTCAAAAACAGAAAATGCTTTAGGCACTCAATTAATCGTACCTTTATCAAAACAAGTCTTGGCACTATTCAAAGAACTTAAAGTTATTACTGGTCATAGTGAATATTGCTTTGCGAACCATTGGGGTAAAACAAGAATTCTGAGTGATAGTTCAATTAATAAAGCTCTCAAGAATCTTGGCTTTAAGAATGGTGAGACCACTGGTCATGGGTTCCGTGCAACCGCACGTACTTTATTAGATGAAGTTTTAAAATTTCCGATTGAGCGAATAGAGCAGCAAATGGGGCATCAAGTTCGAGATATGCACGGTAGGGCATATAACAGGACAAAATACTTGGACGAAAGAACAATCATGATGCAAGCTTGGTCTGATTATCTTGATTCATTAAAAGAAAAAGCCCTTAAAAGTTAAGGGCTTTGATTTGTTTCTCATATGCTTTTTCTAAGTGTTCAGGAAGTTCAACCCTTGTTGATCTAGCAAGCTTAACTTTATTAAGCTCACCAGTTTCAAACATTCTATATATAGTTGAACGGTGAACCCCAAGAAGGAGGAAGTGATTTCGAATTTTCAGGCACAAAATCGAACTCTTAACTTCATTGAATATCACACACAAGATCGAACACCAGTTTCGTTTAAAAAACTTTGCGAAAAATATTCAGTAGAAAATGATTTTGTTGAACAGGCAAAAGTAAGTTTTCCTAAACACACTGAACAACAGATTCAAAAAGTACTTTCTGATCTTGCTCAGTGGTCGTTATCAGCAAGTAATTTTATGCCACAAAAGTGGATGAGTATTTGGCTTGATTTCATTAAGCGTGATCAAGGTTCACAAGAGAAGCGCAATTCTGAAAACAAGAAATCGAAGTTATCAACTCGAAACGTAAACGATGCTTGGGGTGATGTTCAGCAGTACAAGCCAGCAAGCGATATCGACTGCGAGGGCTTGATATGAACGCAATGACTTCAATGAGTTTTGATATTCAGCAATCAACAGAATTTTGCTCAAAACACCAGGTAAATCATGTTGTTTACCGCGGTAAATCGTTTTGCAAACAGTGTTTACTTGAATCACTTGATCGTGGTCAACAGGAACATCAGCACGCTGTAAACACAATGGTTCGAAAAAATCATTTTGCAGGTGCGAAATTACCTAATCGCCATGCTCAAAGTGGGTTTGAAAATTACGTTGTTTCAAACGATGGTCAACAAAATGCAAAATCTCAATGTGTGTCATTCACTAAAGATTTCATAAAAGACAAATATCGCAATTTGATCATGGTAGGTCGTACTGGAACAGGCAAAACACACTTGGCTTGTGCTGTCGCTTTGAACGTTCTTGAAAAACGCAAATTTGCTCGCTACATCACTTCTGAGGATATGGCTAATGAGATTGCTAATGCTTGGAAAAGAACGGATGACAGCGAGGCTAATGCGATTTACCGCTTTACTGAATATGACTTACTGATTCTTGATGAATATGGTTTGCATGATCGCCATGAGAATAGATTGCAACTGGTTCACAAGGTTTTGTACTCACGTTATGACGAGGGCAAGGCAACCATGTTGATTTCAAATTTCACGCTTGAAGAACTCAAAAAAGATTTGGGTGATCGATTATGGTCACGCTTTCAACACGATGGACTGACTTTGGTTGAGTGTAACTGGGGTGATCAACGAATGGGACAAGGGGGTGGGGTGTGAGAGCATCATCAATAAAAAAATTCGAAGATTTCAAAGATGTATTGGTTTACATCGCTGTTGCAACTAATCCAGTCACAGCATATGAGCTTGAGGAAAATGTTGTTGATTTAGCAAGAGGTCAATTGAATCTTGATTTATCCGCAATGGTGAAGTCAGGTTATCTACAGCCTCAAGGTGGGAAGAACAAGCGAGCTTACACAGCTACAGATAAGACAAAACAACTATTTGGGGTGGCACTATGACAACTATAAACAACCTGACAAAACATGACTTTAAGATTGGAAATTGGGTAAAGGCAAATGACGGTCAATTTGGATTTAATGAATTATTCAGAATTGAAGATTTCTTTGCTGATAAAGACGGGGTATTACTCGCTGTCTTAGATGATGGTGATTGCTACCCTCTAAGTTTCCTCGAGCATGCCTGTGAAGCTGAAATCAAAGCAGGTCACCGCATTGATGACACCACAGACAACGTCACAGACATTCGCAATCACGTTAGCCCGAGTACGAGAGTGGTGGATTTATGAGTCTAAGTATCAAAGAAATTAGAGCTAACAAGCCAAATGGTACAACCCATTTCAGAACACCTCAATCTCGTAATTGTACAAATTACTATCGAGTTGAACCACTTACTAAGGCTGTTTTGTATTGGAGCAACAAAGATGTTGGTTTTTGGATTAGAACAGATTTAACGATTGAAAAATTGGCTGATCTTGGAGCCATGCCGATTGATTATGAGCCAATTGATTGGGTTAGTGTTTTGGAGGCAGAACGTCATGGATAAGTTTGAGGAATGGTTTGCAAGCCAAGATTTCTACACAAACATGCTCTTTATTCATGGTGATGGCTTGTTTGTCAAAGATGGCGATGTTTATCGGGTGTTGCCAGTTCAAATGACTTGGGAGGTGTGGCAATCCCGACAGGCTGAGGTTGACCAACTCAACAAGGTTTTAGATGAGCGCACAAAGGAATGGTTGGAAGCCATTAAGTTAGGAACTTATTTTCAAGAAGCGGCAAAACCTTTGAAAGATGAGGTCGAGCAACTCAATAAAACATTGAGCATAAAATCTAAATTCCTTGATGATTCTGATGCTGCGAATAAATTCTTGAGTGAACAACTTGAAGATAAAAATAAGCGGATTGCAGAGCTTGAATTAGCACTAACTCAGATTAAATCATGGGAATCACACCCGAAAAACTATGGAATTGACTTTGGATCGTGGGGGCTAAGAGATTTTTACAGGGATTTGGCAGATAAAGCCTTGCGAGGTGAGCATGAATAGATCAGAAGCTTTGGAGATGGGATTTAAAGAATTACCTCACCCAACAATTATGAATACTCTCGTTTATGACCTAGGCAGAAGAAGGGTCCTTAGTTTGGGATGCTTAGGTCAAGGCAATGAAGTTATTTACCTTTGCGAAAAATCAAAAGTTGGCGACCATTATGAAGACTTGGTCTGTGTCCACAATCGTGATTACGACGGTCTCATAACAAGTCAGAGATTGAAAGCATTGATCGACTGGTTTGAATCAGGCAAGGAGGGCAACAATGCAAATTCCTAAAGGCCTCATCATTGGCATCGATCCAGACTTAGAAAAATCGGGGGTGGCTGTCTTAGGACAGTCATTCGAGCTGAAGAATTTAACCTTTGCTGAAACTGTTGAGTTATTCCGCAGTCACCAGGATCAGATCAAAAAAGTGGTGATCGAGGCAGGGTGGATGAATAGAAAATCAAATCTACATAGTCGTTTTGGTCAATCTAAGCATGCAGGTGAGCGAATTGCCAAGAATGTAGGTGAGAACCATGCGACAGGCAAATTACTTGTAGAAATGGCGAAATCTTTTGGTTTAGCAGTGGTTGAAGTAAGACCAACCAAAACCAAAAAGAATTCAGAAGAATTTAATCACATCACAGGCTGGCAGGGTAGAACGAATCAAGAACAGCGTGATGCAGGTATGTTGATTTGGGGGATGAGTTAATGCAATGGATCTTAGCTTTCTTCCTATTTATTTTCATGATGGGCGTAAAAATTGATGATGGTGCAGTACTGGATTGGTTTTTCTTTATCGTTGTAGTGGGCATGTTTTTAGCAGCAATAGTGGCAGTACGAGTATTAGGTTAAGGGGCAATTATGAACGCAGTAGCAGAGAAGTTTGAACAATTCGAGTGGTTGACTCATGGCATCACTGCTAAGTCACCGCAATTCAATGATGAGACAAAAGGCACAGGAGAGAAACCTTTGGACTATCAAGATCGCTTGGGTGCTATTGCGAGCATGGAAACCCAGTTGGAGAAGTCAGTAACATCTCTAATCATCTATGGTGAAAATGCCAAGAGTGACTATGAGTTTATCCGTAATCATCTGGCTAAAATTATGATGAATGGAGCTTATGAAGATAAACGTCGTGAGCCTGAGCATATTGCGATTTATCATTTGTCTTGCTTGGTTGCGGGTATGGTCATAGCATTTGCAATGGATCCTGAACATGAGAGTAATTTTACAGCCAAGGGTAGATTGCATTTAGCTGCTGGTGTTAAGTCTTATCAGATGACGCTGAAAGCTTATGATTCAACATGGAAGCGTTACGAAAATATGATGATTATAGCTTTAGAAACTTCCATCAAATGTGCTGCGGAAGCGGTTGAAAAGTACAGAAAAAATACTTACAAAGAATATAAAGTGTAAGGCTAGTAAAATTTTCCTGACTAAGGTATAGTTTTTATATACTGGTCGTATTACGGTTCATCCGAGACCAAAAACTTTAAAACCTCGTATTTGCGGGGTTTTTTAATTTAAATAAGTTTACGGACAAAGCATGAGTAAGCCTAAAAGACACCATTATGTACATGCTTCTTATCAAAAAAGATTTCTTGCTACAGAAAATGAACTTTATGTTTTGTCTAATGAATATAATAAAAATTTAACATTAAAAACACCATCTCAAATATGTTATGAAATGCACCTTCACACATTGGATCTAAATGATACAAAATTTTTGGAAATTGAAACGTTTTACAGTTCAGTGGAAGGTGAAATTGCGAAATTATTAAATGTTATTGATGATGGTGAAAAAGAAAATAAATCATTTTGGTTTGAGGCTTTAAAAATACAAGATATTCAAGTAACCTTGAAGTTCTTTATTGCTATTATGTTTTGGAGAAATCCTTGTCAAACTGAATTAGCTATAAAACTCTCAGAGAAGTTGCTTGAGCTTTATGATGCTGCTGACAATGAGGCGAGAAAAATAATTTCAGATAGAAAAACTATAAAATTCATTCAGAAGCAACGACATAAACATGATTTTATTAAAATAATTCAATTTTTACTGTTACCTTTAATTACTTTTAAAATTTGGGATGAAAATGCATCGATAAGTTCTGCAAGTATTGAAGATCAAGGCTTTATAGTTACTTGTGATAATCCAGTGGTTTTTCAATCTAATGTTGAGAATTTATTTAATTTTAAAGATTTTTATATCCCTCTTGATCAATGCAGGATTTTAACTAGCGCAAATAATCAAGAATCTTTTGTCAAGGTTGTGGATCTCAATTTAAAAACAGCCAAGAATTCAAAAAAGTATATTATGGGCGCTTCACTAGACATGATGAACTATATAAAAAATAAGATTTAACATTTTAGTAATTACCACGTTTTGCTCATTTAAAATTAAATAATCAAATCACCTTCACGCGGTTTTTTTGCGCCATTAGCTCAACTGGATAGAGCATGGGTTTTCTATACCAATGGTTGTAGGTTCGAGCCCTACATGGCGTGCCATATTTCAGGAGAACAACATGCTCCGAATCAAACAAATCTTCTGCCATCACGCATGGGAATATTCAGATTTCTTTACAGTGAGAGAGTGTCGGAAGTGTGGGAAGGTGAAACCAATCTGAAATTAAGATGTGCATATAATACAAATAGTTATGGTCTTTCGCTAAATCAGATAGTGTGAAAATTGTGCTATACTGATTCATTACATACAGAGTCGCATGACATGATTAAACCTTTTTTTGTATATCTGATGAACGCTTTGTTTTTTAAACGCAAGCGAGCATTAATTTTTTGTATTGCCTTTATGTTTATATCGCTTTGGATTGAGTTATATTTAAATGTAAATAATTTTTTTAGTTCGTCTGGCACTTTATTTACAATTGCAGGATTGTTTCTAAGCATAAAACTAACCGCTATATTTCATCTAAAGCAAAACAAGGATGGAAAAGAAGTTCCTTTAAATCTGGATAGTAAGCATATATTGGTAACTGGTGGGGCTGGAGTGTTTGCATCAAATGTACCCACTAAAGACAAGAAAAAAAAAGTAGAAGATGTTGAAAGCGACGAAATATACGGCATTTTTCTAATGATTTTTGGTACTGTTTTATGGGGTTATGGGTCGTATTTCTCCATATGGTTACGTGCTTTTTTAGCTTAAGAAACTGTCAATAATTAAATATATTAATGCCCCTCCCAAGGGGTTTTTTAATGCCTAGAGGAAAGTGGGATGAACTTCTTTGAAATGATTTATCACTCTGGACCTGAAGAATTTGAGTGTGATTTCTATAAAAACAACTCTAATAGATCTCGCAGACATTTCATCAACCAAAGGCTTAAAGATGCAAAGCAAGATTTAGCCAATTACAAACATGAAGAAGAAACAAATGAATTCCTTTTAAGTATTTATCAAGAACAGATTGATGCACTTAATCAAATGAAAGATGAATTCATTAAAAATGGTAAGGCAAGATTTAATTGCTATGTATCGCTTTGTGTTGGTGAAAGAACTTTAAAGGATGTGTGAAATGAAATCTTTATTAATCACACTATGGTGCATGGTTCGTAAGCATTTTGGTTTTTGCACACATCCAGTTCATGCAGAATTATCAGTAATGATAAAGGGTATAGAAATCAGAAGATGCCGTAAATGCCAAGTATGCATTCAGCAACATTCTAAATACTGGGTACAGTCGGAGCGCTTATGGACAAAACCGAAGCACAAAAGAATCTAAAACTACTCGAAGAAGACAAAGCGCGCTTACTCTCGCTTAATCATCTCAATTCCAATTGGGCGTTTAAGAATCAGTGCGAGTTGAGAGTGAAGCAGATTAATGGGTTTATTAGGAATTTAGAAGAAAGCATAAGACGATAATCCATTTTTAGTTTTTATTGGATGGTGATAGTATTAATTTAATTAAAATTATTAGGTTACTTCACTATGCCATCTGTCACCGTTAAAAATGGAAAGGTTCAAAACCCAGTTGCATCAAAAATACTATTGAGTGGACAAGAAACAGTTGAGATCAAATTAGAGCAATTGACTGTTGTAACAGCAAAGCAACTCTTCTGCGTGGTTACTCTTGGGAAACATTACTTTAATAATCAGGAAAAGTATGGTAATCCAGTACAATTTATTGATTATCTTTCAAAAAACTTTAAACAAGTTGATATAGATACACAAAAAGGAATCATGCTGGGAAGTGAGATTCATACTAGATTTTTAAATAAATTAAAAAAACATATAGACGCCTTAATAACAGTTGATTGGCATACAAAACATGGAAAGCTTAAAGGTCTTTAAAATAACAGCCCTCTTGATGAGGGCTTTTTAATGAGTGATTGATATGACATGCCAAGGCTGTGAACAACGACGAGAATGGTTGAGGAAACAAAGTGAACGAGCAAAAGAACGAATGCGGAAAGTCCTGCGAGGTCTTGGTGTTATTGATCCAGCAGAACAACAAACTAATCGAACAGAACAATCAACTCATTCAGATCAACAATGAACAGGCAGCACAGATTAATCACTTGCTTGAGCATTTGGATTTGGAAGGTGAGAGTGAGAGTTCAGGGTATTTGGATGGGTGAGATATGAATAATGAAGAATTATTAGAAGCGCTTGAATCAGTTGCTAATTTCATGCGTGGTATGGGATTAGATCCACGAATTCCACATGACACTAAAGAAGCATTGAGAGTACGTGCTTCTGATATTGATGATTTGGTTGGTAAGTATTTGGAGAATGACAATGCCTAGAGTTGTATCTGTAATCCCTGTGCCTAATACAAGCGGACGCAAAAATTCTATTCAAGTAGCCAATGGTACAAAGGTTCTTCTTGATGATGGTAGTTATCTAGAGAACATTCAAAAGATTACGCTGGTTGCTGAAGTTGATGAGCCTTGGCGAGCAATCATTGAATTAACACCAAAGAATCAAGAGCAGATTGATGCAATCTTATCTGATCTGAAAGTTGTTGAGCCTAAGCCAATTGTTTATGTGGAAAGTGATGATGAGCAGACCATGCCGTGAATGGGGTTGCCCAAAGCTTGTTAAGTCACGCAGTCAGAAAGGTTATTGTGATGAGCACGCATCTAAACGTAGCAATTGGAACAAGCGTCCAGAGCGAACAGGATCAACCACAGAGCGTGGCTATGGACATGCTTGGCGTAAACTGCGTGATGTTGTATTGAAGCGCGATAACTTTCTATGTGTGCAGTGTGGAAAGGATGGACGTTTGGCTGAGGCTACTGATGTCGATCACATATTGAATAAGGCCAAAGGTGGTACAGATTCAATTGATAACCTTCAATCGCTGTGTGATTCATGCCATAAAATCAAAACTGCAAATGAATGATATCAATTCTCAAATAAGGGAGGGGGGAGGTAAAAAGTTCAAAGCTTTTGCCGAAATGACCGCCCCCTTAACCATTTTTTTACGCGTGCGAAATTAAAAATTGAGGGTCTTGACATGGGTGGGCGAAATGCGGTAGCAGGAGCAGGACGAAAACCAAAAGTAAAGCCTGTTGCTTCAAGTGATTTTGAGGGAATTATAGATATTGAAGTCCCTACATACATGGTAAAGATGAGTCATGCAGCAGTCATTTGGGAATCAATTATCCCTGAATTATTAAAAAGAAAAAGTATAACTATTACGGATATGCACAATGTTGAGATGTTCTGTATTGCATATCATAATTTTAGAACCGCGCAAGAAGATATTGTTTTAAATGGAATTACTGTAGCAACAGCAATGGGTTTTTCTAAAAATCCAGCTGCAACAGTCTTAAACGAAGCATCAAAACAAATCGCTCAATTTGGCTCAATGTTAGGTCTTGATCCAGCATCTCGCACCCGGTTAATGGGTGGTGTTAAACCTAAAAAAGAAAACCAATTTGCAAAGGTGTTAAATATGTAGTGAGGTCATTAAATGACAGCTTTCCCAAATGTTGACATTGCAAATAAGTGGGCTAAGCAAGTCGTTTCTAACAAAATTCCTGCATGTAAATGGGTGAAATTAGCCTGTGAACGCCACTTAAATGACTTAAAAAACAGTAAAAATAAAGAATTTTTATATAAATTTGACCCTAAATTAGCTGAAAAAAAGATAGCTTTTATTGAATTGCTGCCCCATACAAAGGGCGAATGGGCTATGAAACGAATGTTGATTTCGTTAGAGCCTTGGCAGAAATTTGGGATTGCTTGTACTTTTGGTTGGGTGCGTAAAAAAGATGGATATCGTCGCTTCCGTGAAAGTTACTGGAATGTTCCTCGTAAAAATGGCAAGTCTGCAATTGCTGCAGGTGTTGCCCTTAACATGTTTGCCAATGATGGTGAATTTGGATCGGAAGTTTATGCAGGTGCAACCACAGAAAAACAAGCATGGGAAGTGTTTAAACCAGCTCGCTTAATGGCAGTACGTTCACCTGACTTTGTAGAAGCGGCAGGCATTCAAATTAATGCTGGTAGTCTGGAAATCCCAGATGATGGATCAATCTTTGAGACAATTATTGGTGATCCACCTGATGGACAGTCACCACATTGCGCGATTGTCGATGAGTTCCATGAGCATCCAACATCAGCCATGTATGACACTATGCAGACTGGTATGGGAGCACGAAGACAACCGCTTATATTTACCATCACAACTTCTGGATTCAATATTGATGGGCCTTGCTACGATTTACAGGTTCGTGTTCAAGAAATGCTTGAAGGCACGGTACCAGATGATGAGTTGTTTGGCTTCATTTTCACAATTGATGAAGGTGACGATTGGACCGACCCAAAGGTTTTACGTAAGGCAAATCCAAATTACGGTGTATCCGTTTATGGGGATTACCTAGAGTCACAGCAACGACGCGCCATACAGAGCGCTTCAAAGCAAAATGCTTTCAAGACAAAACATTTAAATATTTGGGTTTCTGCAAAATCTGCTTTCTTCAATATGGAGCAGTGGAACAAATGTAAAGATTCAAAACTGAAAATTGAAGATTTTAGAAATGATCCTTGCATGATTTGTGTGGATTTATCTTCAAAAATTGATATAGCAGCGCGTATTAACCTTTTCTATAGAGTTATCAAAGGAAAGATTCACTATTACAGTGTTGCACCACGTTTTTACTTGCCCTATGACACTGTTTACAACGGTGAAGAAAAGCAAGTAATTGAGCGCTATCAGAAGTGGTTAAATCAAGACTTATTAACTGTTTGTGATGGATTTGAAAATGATTTAAATGAAATTGCTGAAGATATTTTAAATGATGCAATTGAAATGAAAATTCAAGAAGTCCCATACGATGAATGGGGTGGATTTCAAATATCTAAACAAATTGATGATGCAGGCTATACATCAATCAAAATTCCTAAAATTACCAAAACGTTCTCGCCAGCAATGAAGGAAATGGAGGCAGCGATTGCAGCTGGAAGATTCCATCATGATGGCAATCCAATATTATCATGGATGGTTGGGAATGTGATTTCTAAAACTGGGAAAAACGATACGGAATTTCCAGATAAGGAAAAGAGATTTAAAAAGATTGATGGTGCGGTTGCAGGGTTGATGGGCATTAGTCGTATTCTCACATTAATTAGTAATCCTGAAGAGGATGATCTATCGAGTCACATTGAAAAACACGGGGTTAGAAGACTCTAATGAGCATAAAATCAAAAATAGGGGAGTGGCTTGGATTCAAGTCTACTCCCCTTGTTATTTCTGGACCTGATGAATTGGCACGTATTTTTGGTGCTGAATTTGTCACAGGTACAGGACAGCCTGTTACGCCATTGAGAGCCATGCAACTTGCGATTGTATTTTCATGTGTCCGAGTGCTTTCAGAATCAATGGGCATGTTGCCATGCAGATTGTATAAACAGGAAGGTAAGTACAAGCATCCAGCTGTAAATCATAAAATTTATGAGCTTTTAAGCCTTGCACCTAATGACTATATGACAGCTCAAGAGTTTTGGGAATTGCTTATGGTTTGCTTGTGCTTAAGGGGTAACTTCTACGCCTACAAGGTTTATGCATTTGGTGAAGTTGTTGAATTACTTCCTCTTGATCCGAGTTCAGTGACACCAAAGTTAAAAGATGATTGGACAGTTGAGTACCAGGTTAATTTTAAGAATGGTGGTATCAAAACACTAAGTCAAAATGAAATTTGGCATGTCCGTTTATTCACCCTAGATGGCTTGACTGGTCTTAATCCCGTGGCATATGCGCGTAAATGTATTGGTCTTGGGTTGGATACAGAAGAGCATGGTTCTCAATTATTTAAGAATGGTGCTGTTACTTCAGGTGTTTTGGAAACTGAAGAATCTTTAACTGATGTTGCTTTCAGCCGCCTTAAAACCGAATTTGAAGAAAATTACACAGGGTTGGCGAATACATACAGGCCCATGATTCTTGAACAGGGTTTGAAATGGAAACCTACAGCCTTAAATCTTGAAGATTCCCAATTCTTAGAAACACGTGAATATCAAAAAAGTGAAATCTGTGGATTGTTCCGAGTGCCACCTCATTTAGTGGCCGCAATGGACAAGATGACTTTAAACAATATTGAACATATGGGGATGAGCTTTGTGAATTACTCACTGGTTCCCTATATGACTCGAATTGAATCAAGAATCAGAGTTGGATTGCTTAGTGAAAAAGATCGTAAAAATCATTATGCAAAATTTAATGCTGGTGCGCTTTTACGTGGTGACTTGAAAACACGTTATGAATCTTACGGCAAAGGTATTCAGTGGGGGTGGTTAAGCCCTAATGATTGCCGAGAACTTGAAGATATGAATCCGCGTGAAGGTGGGGATGTTTACTTAACCCCGATGAATATGACAACTGATCCTGAAGGGGAAAATGATGCAAGTAAAGTATCTTAATGTCCCATTAAAAATTAAAAGTGTATCCGATAGTGGTGAATTTGAGGGGTACGCATCAGTTTTTGATGTAGTAGATAGTTATGGTGATGTGGTTGTTAAGGGTGCATTTAAAAATACATTAGAAGCATGGAAAAAACGAGAGGATTTACCGCCTGTCCTTTGGCAACATCAAATGTCTGAGCCTATTGGGCCATTTATTGAGATGAGAGAGGATGAGCACGGACTATTTGTTCGAGGAAAACTTCTTATTGATGATGATCCTTTAGCTAGACGTGCATTGGCTCATATGAGGGCTGGTAGTGTTAAAGGTATGTCAATAGGTTACATCGTTGTAGATGCTGAATATCACAAACAGGATGATCTTTATTATTTGAAAGAAATCGATTTGTGGGAAGCCTCAATTGTGACATTTCCAGCAAATACCGAAGCAAAAATTACTGAAGTGAAGCAGTCACTTCGTAAAGGTGAAATACCTTCACCATCAACAATTGAGAAGGCATTACGAGATGTAATGGGTTTCTCCCAGAAACAAGCCAAAGCTTTTATGGCGAAAGGCTATAGTGCATTAGGTTCTCAGCGAGATGTTGAAAGTCAAAATGAGGCACTTAAATCAATCAAAGACTTAACAGCATTTTTACGAGGATAATACTCATGGCTATTGATGAAAAAGATATTGGTGAAGTAATCACTGATTTAAAGGGTGCATTTGAAGATTTCAAGAAATCAAATGATAAAGAACTTGATGCTATTAAAGCGGAAAAAGTTAAGCAAACCGAAGCAACAGAAAAACTTAATGAAAAATTAGGTGATATCGACAAGCTTAAAACTGAACTTGAAAAAGAGCTTAAAGCAGCAAAACGCCCAGGTGTGACTGGTGGTGAAGGTGTTGACGAGCATAAAACTGCATTTTATCAATTCCTTCGTAAAGGTGTTGATGATGGTCTTGCTGATTTAGAACGCAAAGCTGTTCAAACCACTACCAATCCTGATGGTGGCTTTGCGGTACCAGAAGAACTAGACCGCACATTATTGGAACTTTTGAAAGATGAAAGCCCAATGCGCAGCGTATGTTCGCAAATCACTGTTGGATCGCCTGATTATAAAAAATTGGTCAATCTTGGTGGTGCTGGTTCGGGCTGGGTGGGTGAAACAGATGCACGCCCTGCAACTGGAACTCCAACACTTGCGCAACTTCAGGCAACAATGGGGGAAATCTATGCGAACCCTCAAGCAACACAAACATCTTTAGATGATGTGTTCTTTAATGTTGAAAACTGGATTTCTACAGAAGTTGCACAGGAATTCGCTGAAAAAGAAGGTCATGCATTCTTGCTTGGTGATGGTTCTAAAAAACCAAAAGGTATTTTAGCCAATACATTGACTACAGAAGTTGATAAGGTTCGTGCATTTGGTTCGCTTCAACAGATCCTTTCTGGTCAAGCTGGCAATTTCAACGGTGACAATCTTATTGATTTGATCTACTCATTGAAAAAAGGCTATCGAAATGGCGCTTTATTCATGATGACAAATCTTACTCAATCAAAAGTGCGTAAGTTTAAGGATTCTGAGGGTAATTACTTATGGCAACCGGGCTTGCAGTTGGGTCAACCATCAACATTGCTTGGATATGGCATTGAAGAAAATGAAGATATGCCAGAAGCTGAAGCGGATGCTAATGCAATTTTATTTGGTAACTTTAAGCGCGGTTATTTGATTGTCGATCGCATGGGAACTCGTGTATTACGCGACCCGTACACCAATAAGCCTTACGTTGGTTTTTATACCACAAAACGTACTGGTGGCATGCTTACAGACAGCAATGCAATTAAAGCACTAACGCTATCTGCTTAAATCTATCATTTAGAATATGCCTTACTTTTTGTGAGGCATATTTTTTGGGGGAAACATGCCAATTATTACGGTAAAACAGACCTTTAAAATAGCTATTGAAAATGGAAATAAGGTCATAGAAATTGGAAAAGGTGATCAAGATGTATCGGATCGCATTGCGGAAGTCGCTGTAAATCAATTGAAAGTTGCAACATTTAAGGCGAAAGGAAAACAGAATGAATCAGTTTCTAACGCTGGAACAGGTAAAACTACACCTGAAAATTGATCACGATGACGAGGATTCAGATATAGAGGCGTTAATTGATGCCTCATTTATCGCATTCGAAGAATCAACCAATCGCAAACTCTATGCTGAAAATGAAGCAATTCCCGAAGATATTAAAAATGGTATTCATATCAGTGATGCAATTATTCAAGGTGCCAAATTATTAATTGGTCACTGGTATCGGAATAGAGAAACCACTGGTAATTTGCAAAACTTGCCATTTGCTACAGAGTGGCTTTGGCGTAGACACCGATTTGTGAATGTGGGGTGATTTATGGGTATTCCTGCAGGCGAACTACTCCACCGAGTAACCATCCAACAAAAAATCACGCCAGTTGATGAATACAACAATGAACTTGAGCCTATTTGGTCAGAATACAAAAAGCTTTGGTCTAAAGTTGAGTTTTTATCTGTAAAAGATACTTTGACAGCCAAGGCGGTTGGATCAGAAACTAATGCACGCTTAAAGATTCGCAAACGTACTGATATCACAACTGAAATGCGTGTGTTGTGGAAAGATCAGACTTTTCAGATTGTTTCACCACCTAAACCTGACAATGAAAACGCTGAAATTTATGTGACGTTTGAGCTGAAATTATTGGAGTAGATATGAATAATTCCAAAGATTATGACCAATTCACAGGCATTTCAACTGGTGGAATTGAGCTCACTGAAGAAATACTTAAAGGCACTCAGGTGATTGATGGTAAAGAAAAGGTTGTATCTTCAAAGCCGATTGAGAATTTTAAAGAGTATTTGGAGAGAGTATGTCAAACATCCAATTTGATATCCAAGGACTAGATCAACTCCAATCCAAACTAGAACGACTCAATAATCCGCGTAAAGTAAAATCAATGGTGCGAAAGGCATTAAGGCAAGCCGCGAATATTGTTCGAGATGCAGCGCGTAATAATGCCAAACTGATTGATGATCCCGAAACACGTGAGAAGATTTGGAAAAATATTAGTGTGCAAGGTGGGAAAACAAGAAACTTCAGTGATATTAAAATCCGAGTTGGTGTGAGAGGCGGTGCGTCATTCTCAAACCCTAACCCACCTAATTTAAGTGGTGGTGATACAAGGCACTGGCGTTGGGTTGAATTTGGATCTGTAAATAATCCAGCCGTACCATTCATGCGTCCAGCACTTGCCAACAATATTCAGCCTGTCACAGATAAGTTTGTTCAAATGTTGAATGACGAAATAGACAAAGCTTTAGCGAGTCCTACATGAACATTTTACCTATCTTTAAAACGCTACAAACGTCATCTGAGGTCGTTGCGCTGGTTGGCAATCGAATTTATGAAGATATCGCACCTGATAAAACAGCATTTCCATATGTGGTGTGGTCAACTATCGGGGGGGAGCCAAGCCATAACCTTGATTGCCCGCCACAAATTGATCACCTAACTTATCAGTTGGTTGTTTACGACACTCAAGCAACCAGAGCCTCAAATATTCGAAAACAAATCAGTGTTGTCTTAGATCCACTTTGCACAATCACAAACTTGCATCCAAATCATATTGAGCGTATTGGCGACCTAAATGTTTTCGGCCGTGGCTTTGATGCGAATTGGTGGTTTGATCGATAAGCACTAAACACAAAGAATTTTTAACCTAGACCTCCTTAATTGGAGGTTTTTTTATGCCTAAAGAGGAGATCTACTCATGGCGAAGAAAGGCGTTTTATCTAATGGTACCGATGTGTGGATTGTCCATGGCACAGTACCAGTATTAACAAAAATGGGTTGTATCAAAGCTTTAGTGCTAGGGGATGACAGTGCGACAGAAGTAGATACAACTTGTTTGCAAGAAACAAGCACCAAAACTTCTGAATACGGCTTAAGCACACCAGGTGAAGGTTCAATTCAAATTGATACAGATCCAAAAAACTTATCACACATGACATTACTTCAATTAGCTGCAGAAAAAGCAGAAGTTAAAGTTTATGTCGGTTGGTCAGATGGTATTGCTGAGCCAACATTGGTGACAGGTGAAATTGATTTGCCTGAAACTCGTACATGGTCGCACTTCACTGCAATCTTGCGCAAAGGTTCGGCGGTGTTCGCTGTAGATGCAATGGTCAATCATACAATCCCTATGAAACGCCAAACCGAAGTAACTGAAGAATTTAAGGTGACCCCATAATGGCTAAACTCACATTAAAGGCAGCTCAAAAGGCCATTGGTATTGGCACTTTCGTTGAAAAAACAATTAAGTTTCGTGATGCTGAAGGCAAAGAGTTCTCAGGTGAAATCCTTGTTAAAATCCTATCCCATGATGAAGTTGTAAAGGCTACCGATGTTTGGGGCGTGAAAAACAGTGGTG